ATCACCGAATCTTCAGGGCGCATTACACTTGTTTAGAATATAAATTTTTTGTCTGATTAAAATGATAGCTTCTTTGTCATAATTTCATCGAGATTGTGTATTCTGATACTTATCCACCAATTGTATTGGATTTTATATTTTTATTTTTTTTTTGTTGACAGATGGATATCACCCTGACTTTGAGGTTCAAGATGTTTGTTCATTGTTCGAAAAGATGGAGAATTGGTTGATTTTTCATATGGAAAGGCATAAAGGGCCTGATCAGAAAAAACTATCCTCTATATGCAGATAGTTTTATCTCAGACTTTCCGCAGCACAGGCGAGTGGATGACGGTTTTACTGTCAACTTGCTCACTACTTTGTGTTGTTAGTTTTATTGTTTGAAGTATTCATTTTTATGAATTGATTTATATTGTACAAAGTAGGAGCAAAGTTCAAAATGTTTAAAAATGAATTGCTGAGAAGTTTCTAGCAATTTTATCCAGAAGCTGAAGTAACGCTGCGAATGACTTGGCTGGGAATTGGTCTAGTTTTTTTATACATACTTATATACCCTTAATTCATAATGTTTTATATTGGCACATTTTATTTTCTGGATCCTGGGTGGGAATGAGCTCTCTGTCCTTTCTTGCTCCTTTTCTTACTCTCATGTTTGTTTAAATTGGGCTGCCTCTAACTTTTCTTCTATTTTGCGTTTATGAGAAAATGCAAATTGTTGATATATTCTCCCACTGGTATTTTTGCTTTAAATGAAATAGAAGTCAAATAACATTTGTTATTTACCCAATCTTTTATGATTTCAATTTAATTCTTGTTCGGAACAAAGATGGTAGCTGTTGAATTGACTCTAACTAACGATTTGAACTAATATTCTAGCTTATACTACAAATGAACTGTACGGATCTTTCATGATCATTTCTGGTTAGAAACCTTCAGAATGAGTTGGTATCATTTAGTTGGCTCAGTAAGAGACACTCGGATCTCTGTGTATTCTATCCATTGATCAACTGCCCAAACCTAAGTCCTAACTAGTAAGTTATTATATGTGATTAGATTGATTTGTAAACAAATTGTATTATTGCAGATCAGTACCAATTAAAAAGGAAGAAAGTCAATTCTCTGTGCCATGCTTTGGACTTAGCTCCACTCTCAGTAGTAAATACTTTTACTTCACTCTTTGCTCTAATTAAATGGGAAAATGCAAATCATTTTAAAATTGCTTGAAATGCATCAAGAAAGGATTTAATTTAAAGCATCTTCTTCATACTTTCTGAGATTCAAAGAAGAACGTTACCACAAGTCTCCTTAGAACGTATACGACGATGATTGAGCTTTTCAGTCGTATTTTTTTCTTATCACCAGGGTGCCAATTTTGTAAAAACTGCGCTTAGCAGACTATATATTTTAAATCCCATTGTTTGACGAAAAATTGACTAGATCCAACAGTCACAATCTGTGGATACAGATATTCCATGATTTACTTGTTTCCAGATATAGACAAGGATATATTATTATCAAGTAATATCATATACAACAATAACAACATAGAACTTCTCAATGGTATTCCAAGGATCTTTGACAAAGTCCAATTTGCCTAAGTGTCTAGTTGAGAGATGGTAGCAATGCATCCACCACCCACCATCTCAATGCTTATTAAGATTATGCCGCTCAATTTTTCATATTCTATTGGTGTTTGAAATTTAAAAATAGACAGCTGAAAAAGGAAAATAATAAATAGAAAAAGATGCAGAGATGTAAGCACTGTTTGATAAGTCTTCTTTTCAATCATGGAGTGAAGAGTGGTTTGATATAATTTTTAGATTATTATTAAAAAGTCTAAATTCTAATTTTCCTAATTTTAATAAAGTGATCATTAAACTTTTATCTAATATATTTCAGATTCAGATTATGAAATATGTAATTCGAAGCGCATTGAAAAAAAAAAAAAAGGTTTCTTTGGATATTCCAAGCCAATCCAAGGTCATTTATTGATTTAGCACGTGTGACGGTGTGAGAAGCAACGTAACAGGCATTTGTCGTGGTTGTGTCGGAAGAATGTGGTCCAGCAAACCAGCCCACTATTTTTGGTTTCTGCGGCATTATACCTGACACGTACCTCAAATTCCATGTGCTCTCCCACCCACTAAAGTCTCTGATTCCCTGTTTCTGAATATCAATTTGGATTCTTTTTTTAATGAACTCCGTTTCTACATGGAAAAAAAAACTCCGATGAGCGCATTTAGGTAAAGGGTCATCCAATCTATAATAGGGATGGGCAGCAAAATAAAGTTGTTAGCCATTGCAGACGATGAACAACACTTGTACACTTTCTTTGCTTCTAATCTATGAGTGCCGGAGTGAGATATCAAATTAAAAAAAGAAAAAAATATGGAAATAATTGTTACCTAAGTTATACAACTTTTTTATGATGACTAAGAATGCACACCATTCTGAGTAATTGACAATTGTTGTCTTGCTTCCATAAAAAGGTTAAGTCGATCTGGGTTGATGGACTGATGAAGGAGCTCAATTCTATTCTCCAGCAATAAACCCACTTCATTCTCATCCTCATTTCAATTATCTACTTAACAGAGGTTAAACAGAATACTACTTTTTTTTTTCCCTTTTTGGTCAGTGAAATAGACTACCTTCATATCCTTCACCTTCCTTGATCAATTCATTGGATCTTTACATTTTCTCTAATATTATTTAAGCTATCACTCTCAGAATTTTTTAATCTTGATTCTTCGCTGAAGGATGGAGTTCATAGCACCACCAAGTCTAATGTACTGCACCGTCTTTTATTATTTTAAATTTATAATTGACTTGTTAATTGTAGATGTACCCCAAGGGAAACCCTTCCCTTCCGACCGGATTATGACATTCAATTTCTTCAGCTTTCTTGTGTTGGAATTTTTAAGCAATGAACAGTGAGTAATTCATTTCTCAAGAGACAAAGCTTGACATGTGAAAACATATATAAAAATGATATTTGAAAAACTTCATTTTGCTGAAAAACATCTTTTTGCTTAATGTACGTGAAGAGCAGGATGTTTGTTTTTTGTGAAACTTTGACTAAAAATTGGAGATCCTTATCCTCTTACTCTTCACCGATGGAAGTTAGTGTGACTATGTAACTCTGTCACTCTATGTCACTTTTCCAAAGCAAACCCATTATGAAATCTGATTACTTCTCCAATCAAGCAATAAAATTGGAGAAATTGACCTGCGTGAGGAAGATATTTATTACAATTGCACGCAACGCATATTCTATATGCACAAACGACAAATTAAATATAGTATATAATATTTCAACGTTCTGTTTTAGTAGGTGGGGTGTCGGTTTTGTCACGGTTCTAGCTGGACCGACAAAATATTACTGGATAGGGCTTTTATCTTAATTAGACCATTTGCAACCACAAGGTTGGTGTCAGTTTCACGTAAAAATTTAAAAATATTTTCGGTATTTACTATTACTCCAAACCTATTACATCAAATATTACACAAAAATATTTATTTTATATTCTCTTTCTTTATTATCTATTTTATTAATTATTTATATATATATTAATTAATATTAAGATGATATTTTTATTAATAATAATTACTTTAAAATTATATTATTATTTAATAAATACTTATATTTAATATAAAAAATTACATAAATATAAAATACTACAAAAAAAAAAACCGCACAAAAGTAAATTTTATTTGATAGTAGTTTATTTTTCGAATTAGTATATTCTCTCCACAAATGATCAATTAATATATCTGTCTTCTGGACTTTGAGATGTAAATTAATTAACCTAGCCTTATGTTAGAATGCAAATTAATGAATCATTTCTACTTCCTAATATGGTTAGAGAGTAGAACAAAGAAAAACTTTACCACCAGAAACAGCTCCACGTATGTTCCCATGTGAATCTTTCAAGTGCAAAACCAGCTTCTCTGAGCACGCCGTTGAGCGATGGAAATCTGTGACAGCCATTTCCATGCCTATTTTCTGCTCCTTCCCCACTCGAGAGCTTAAGTCAATAACACCACCGATACGCCCTATCACCCTGGCATGTGTCTGTTCCGGTTCTGGACATTTCTTCTTTCTCTGACTAGCCTCAGCTAATTTTAATGATCCATTCAATAACAATAACAAAAGCAATAAAAAAGAGAGAACCTCCAACAAGTTTGGAATTCTCATCTTCTTCAAAAATTAATTTTCTCCCTTGAAGGAAGGGAAATAAAAGGATTCTGTTATGTAGGCTGAAGAACGAAGTACTTGACTCTGTTTAAAAACACCCTCTCCAGAAATATATATATATTCAGCATTTGCAACTGAGTGGAAATTTCATGTCTTTAGAAACGTCTCCAGGCTAACTATAGATAGTACTAATTCAACCATAAAATACTGTCTCTGATAATATTGTTAGATTCTTCATTCCTCACTACTTAACAATTTTATTAATTTATCACAGTCAAATACCATCTTTTCTTTCTACTTAAGTTAGTGGCAGTCTGCAGTCACCTTATATATTTTAAATTTTAACGTATATTAACCGCATGAAAATGTCAATGCCAACTGAACAAGAAGAGTTCAATAACCTTATAGTTGAATCTGCGTGTTACCAAGAAAATAGGAATAAAATGGTGTAGTTTATTTAAACCAATAATCATGTCCAATTAACCATATATATCACCTTGTTACATATCACATAAGTCTTAACAATAATTTTTTGCTTACAACTAACTCATACAAATGGACAAAATTTACATAAAATTCATGTAAAATGACTATTTTACCTTTTATTTTTTGTTTATTTGTATTGATTTAATTATAAGCATAAGATTACTCTAAGCCTAAACCACCACCATTATTGCCTCGCCCCTCAACGACAAGAATAACAGATTGGTCACAGGGCCTTCTGATTGTGGGCCGGGTTAGGAATGTCTAAGGCCCAGCTGGGAAAGTAACTAGGTACTAGGTGGACGACCGTGGCTCACTTAACGCAGTATTATCTGGTCAGATTTCCATGGCGCTTCACTCTTGCGACCGTTAACTGCTTCACCAAAAGCTACTAAAAAAGAAACCAAAAACAATGTGCGAAAACTAACTTCTCTAACGCAGTTGCAGACTACTTGGAACATGACCATGGCTTCCATTTCCAGACCATCGCCGTTTCTGTATCGTCACTCAAACCCTACATCACTAAATTCCTCTCCCGTGGTCTTATCTTTTCCATTTTATCGAACGACGTCGCTTCACCTACGTGTCTCTGCCCTAAATTCCGATGGACATAAAATTGGGAGCCAAGAATCGCTCGGTTCTGGTTTGCTGAGGAAACCGGTAATTTCTCCATCGAGGAAGGACTTGGGTAGAAATTCAGAAGACGATGAGGTTAGCGAGGAGGAGAGTGAAGAGGAGAAAGAATGGGTTGATTGGGAGGACAAGATTTTGCAGGACACGGTCCCTCTCGTTAGCTTCGTCAGGATGATTCTTCACTCTGGAAAGTAAGTAGTAAGGCTAAAGTTGAATAATTTACATTTGGTTATTGATTGTAATTGTTTTGGTAATAATTTTTCAGTGCAAATTGGGATTTTTTATTGCAGATACGAAAGTGGAAGTAGATTAAGCCCAGAGCACGAGAGAACGATTCTTGATAAATTGCTTCCATATCATCCGGAATTTCAAAAGAAGATCGGTTCTGGAATTGACTACATTACAGTATGTGATAGGCTTCTCCTTTATTTCTCGTTTTAGCAGTGTTGTAATTTATATATACCACATTTTCTGTATATTGTTATGGTATATGAACCTACTAATCACATTGCGAATAGCTTTGTTTTCCCCTTAGCATGACCTGTATGTTGTGGAACTTGCTTACTTTGAACTATCAATTCAAGTTTATATCTAGTAGTGATGATCTTTGTAATCAAAGTTTCTACAGAGATATCTGTTGTTGATAAAAGTGAGTTCTGTAGGTGAACTGTTTGCCCACCAACTAATGAGATTGAGAATTGTATTTGAACTGGTCACTTGAGCACATTTTTTATTTTACATGCACCGCCATATTATAGCTGTGCCTGTGGCTTCCTAATTCTTTATTACTAATAATGCCCCGTGGAATTATTCCTAGTCAGTATCATGGGAGTACTTACCTCATTTGTTGTGTCCCTTAGCATGCAGCAAAATATATAATTAGTATTGCTAATGTCCAGTATGTGGTTGAAATTTTTTTTCATCCGTTTGTCCTATGTTATTCTTCAGTCAACTGTTGTTAGAAACATGAATAATATTATCAAAAAAATATGTAGTAATTCTCTCTCTCTCTGTGTATCGGTGTGGCCAAAACATGCCGAGGAAAGTAATCTTGAGGATGCAAGATTGTTCCTGCAATCTCCAATAATAGAGTATTGCAGCTTGCGAGTATCACCGAATCTTCAGGGCAGCATTACACTTGTTTTAGAATATAAATTTTTTTGTCTGATTAAAATGATAGCTTCTTTGTCATAATTTCATCGAGATTGTGTATTCTGATACTTATCCACCAATTGTATTGGATTTTATATTTTTATTTTTATTTTTTTTGTTGACAGATTGGATATCACCCTGACTTTGAGGGTTCACGATGTTTGTTCATTGTTCGAAAAGATGGAGAATTGGTTGATTTTTCATATTGGAAATGCATAAAGGGCCTGATCAGAAAAAACTATCCTCTATATGCAGATAGTTTTATTCTCAGACATTTCCGGCAGCACAGGCGGAGTGGATGACGGTTTTACTGTCAACTTGCTCACTACTTTGTGTTGTTAGTTATTATTGTTTGAAGTATTTCATTTTTATGAATTGAATTTATATTGTACAAAGTAGGAGCAAAGTTCAAAATGTTTAAAAATGAATTGCTGAGAAGTTTCTAGCAATTTTATTTCCAGAAGCTGGAAGTGAACGCTGCAAAATGACTTGGCTGGGAATTGGTCTAGTTTTTTTAATACATACTTATATACCCTTAATTCATAATGTTTTATATTGGCACATTTTATTTTCTGGATCCTGGGTGGGAATGAGCTCTCTGTCCCTTTCTTGCTCCTTTTCTTACTCTCATGTTTGGTTAAATTGGGCTGCCTCTAACTTTTCTTCTTATTTTGCGTTTATGAGAAAATGCAAATTGTTGATATATTCTCCCACTGGTAGATTTGCTTTAAAATGAAATAGAATTGGCTTAGTGCTTGGACAGTACACGTAGTTTGCAAATAACATTTGTTATTTACACCAATCATTTTATGATTTCAATTTAATTCTTGTTCGGGACAAAGATGGTAGCTGTTGGAATTGACTCTAACTAACGATTTGAACTAATATTCTAGCTTATACTACAAATGAACTGTACGGATCTTTCATGATCATTTCTGGTTAGAAACCTTCAGAATGAGTTGGTATCATTTAGTTGGCTGCAGTAGAGACACTCGGATCTCTTGTGTTATTCTATCCATTGATCAACTGCCCAAACCTAATGGTCCTAACTAGTAAGTTATTATATGTGAATTTAGATTGAGATTTGTGAACAAATTTGTATTATTGCAGATCAGTACCAAATTAAAAAGGAAGATAAGTCAATTTCTGTGCCATGCTTTGGACTTAGCTCCACTCTCAGTAGTAAATACTTTTACTTCACTCTTTGCTCTAATTTGAAATGGGAAAATGCAAATCATTTTAAAATTGCTTGAAATGCATCAAGAAAGGATTTAATTTAAAGCATCTTCTTCATACTTTCTGAGATTCAAAGGAAGAACGTTACCACAAGTCTCCTTAGAACGTATACGACGATGATTGAGCTTTTCAGTCGTATTTTTTCTTTATCATCAGGGTGCCAATTTTGTAAAAACTGCGCTTAGCAGACTACATTCATAATTTTAAATCCCATTGTTTGACGAAAAATTGACTAGATCCAACAGTCACAATTCTGTGGATCAAGATATTCCATGATTTACTTGTTTCCAGGATACGAGACAAGGATATATGATATATCAAGTAATATCAATATACAACAATAACAACATAGAATATCTCAATGGTATTCCAAGGATCTTTGACAAAGTCCATATTTGCCTTAGTTGTCTAGTTGAGAGATGGTAGCAATGCATCCACCATCACCACCATATCAATGCTTAATTAAGAATTTATGCCTGCTCTAAGTTTCATATTCTTATTGGTGTTTGAAATTTAAAAAATAGACAGCTGAAAAAGGAAAAAAGTAAATAAATAGAAAAAAGGAATGCAGAGATGTTAACGCCCACTGTTTGAGTAAGTCTTCTTTTTAATTAATCATGGAGTGAATGAGTGGTTTGATATGAATTCTTAGATATATTACTTAAAAAGTCTTAAATTCGAATCTTTCCTCAATTGTTAATAAAAGTGATCATTAAAACTTTTATCTAATCAGTAATTTCAAGATATCAGAGATTAATCGAAATATGCTTAAATTGGTCCGAGAGCATCTCATGAAAAAAAAAAAAAAAAAGTTCTCTTTTGGATATTCCAAGCCAATCCAAGGTCATTTATTGGATTTAGCACGTGTGACGGTGTGAGAAGCAACGTAACAGGCATTTGTCGTGGGTGTGTCGGAAGAATGTGGTGCCTAGCAAACCAAGCCCACTTATTGTTTGGTTTCTGCGGCATTATAGCCTGACACGTACGCTCAAATTCCATGTGCTCCCACCCACTAAAGTCTCTGATTCCCTGTTTCTGAATATCAATTTGGATTCTTTTTTTAATGAACTCCGTTTCTACATGGAAAAAAAAAACTCCGATGAGCGCAATTTAGGTAAAGGGTCATCCAATCTATTAATGGGGCCATGCGAAGCAAAATAAAGTTGTTAGCCATTGCAGACGATGAACAACACTTGTACACTTTCTTTGCTTCTAATCTATGAGTGCCGGAGTGATGATATCAAATTAAAAAAGAGAAAAAAATATGGGAAATAATTGTTACCTAAGTTATACAATTTTTTATGATGACTAAGAATGCACACCATGTGTCTGAGTAATTGACAACTGTTGTCTTGCTTCCATAAAAAGGTTAAGTGCGATCTGGGTTGATGGACTGATGGAAGGAGCTCAATTCTATTTCTACAAGCAAATAACCCCACTTCATTCTCATCCTCATTTCAATTATCTACTTAACAAGGTTAAACAGAATAGGCTGACTTTTTTTTTTTTGCCCTTTTTGGTCAGTGAAATAGACTACCTTCATATCCTTCATCCTTCCTTGAGTTCAATTCATTGGATCTTTACATTTTCTCTAATATTATTTAAGCTATCACTCTCAGAATTTTTTAATCCTGATTCTTCGCATGAAGGATGGAGTTCATAGCAACCACCAAGTCTAATGTACTGCACCGTCTTTTATTATTTTAAAATTTATAATATGACTTGTTAAATTGTAGATGTACCCCAAGGGAAACCCTTCCCTTCCGACCTGATTATGACATTCAATTTCTTCAGCTTTCTTGTGTTGGACATTTTTAAGCAATGAACAGTGAGTAAATTCATTTCATCAAGAGACAAAGAGCTTGACATGTGAAAACATATAATGAAAAAATGATATTTGAAAAAACTTCATTTGCTGAATGAAAACATCTGTTGCTTACATGGATAACAAAGCCAAAAAAATGTACGTGAAGAGCAGGATGTTGTTATTTGTGAAACTTTGACTAAAAATTGGAGAATCCTTATCCTCCTACTCTTCACCGATGGAAGTTAGGTGAGACTATGTACTACTCTGTCACTCTATGTCGACTTTTCCAAAGCAAACCCATTATGAAATTCTGATTCATCTTCTCCAATCAAGCAATAAAATTGGAGAAAATTGACCTGCGTGAGGAAGATATTTATTATACAATTGCACGCAACTGGCCTTTCCCTTCCCTCTAATAGGGCAACCAAATATGCACAAAACGACAAATTAAATATATGTATATAATATTTCAACGTTCTGTTTTAAGTAAGGGTGGGGTTGTCGGTTTTGTCACGGTTCTAGCTGGACCGACAAAATATTACTGGATAGGGGCTTTTATCTTAATTAGACCATTTGCAACCACAAAGGCTGTGTTTGTTTCAGTTTTGGGTATTCCCAACAAAATTAAACAGTAAAATACCTAAAAATTTAAATTTTTAGAAATATTATTCTTAATATTATTTAACTTTTTTTAAACTCCTTAAATTTGATAATTTAATTAAATATCCCTAAATATATTTTTTAAAATTATAAAAACACCCCAATAATCTACATTTACCAGATTCCGACCATCACCATCGAAAAATGGCCGATATCTGGTAGGATGGAGCACTACCAACTGAATCTGGCTTGTAGTGCGCCGATCTAGCCTTTTCCGACCAGATCCACGATGGATCTGGCCGGAAAAGGCCAGATCTTTGGCCGTAACACTCGGTCACGTGGTCAACGACGACCGTTTGTTGGCCGTCGTTGAGAGCAAATACGGCTAGATCTGACCGTATCTGACCGTAGATCTAGCCTTTTCCGACCAGATCCACCGTGGATCTGGCCGAAAAAGGCCATAGCGACGCATGAACGGCAAGATCCAACCGGTCATGCACCCATAAGGCGATTCCGGCCACCTCCGGTGGTGGTCGCCGGCTAGGGGTGTTTGAGGGTGGGTTAGAGGTATTTTTGTTAACTTTTAATGTTTTATTACAGGGGGTATTTTGTAAAAAAACAAACATAAAGGATATTTTATTGATTTATAAATTCTACATCGTAATACTCGCCAAATTCAACTTTTTTTTAACTTTTTTCAAAAAACTTTTCCCAAAACCCCCAAATTTTGAACCAAACGGAGCCAAACACTTTGGTGTAAGTTTCACGTAAAATTAAAATAATTTTTTTGGTATATTTCATTATTACATCTCACACCCATTTATCAAATATTACATTAAAGAAAATATTTCTTTTTCTTTCTATTAATAATCAATAATTAATCTATTTTATTAATTATTTTTATATATATTAATTAAATATTGAGAATAATATTTTTATTAAATAATAATTACTTTAAAATTTATACTACTATTTAATAAAATAAACATTATATTTAATATAGAAAAAAATTTAATATAAACTGCCACAAAAAAAAAAAAGACAACAACAGCACAAAAGTAAAATTTCATATTGATAGTAGTTTGATTTTCCGAATTAGTATATTCTTCTCACAAATGATTAATTAATGCATTTCGAAGAGCATGGTGAACATTTGTATCATTGATTTGCTTATGTCGAGCAAGAAAATTTTGAAATCGGACATTTTCATGTACGACAATTTCAATTTTGGGAATTGATGCTTCCATTTGATTCTCAATCAATGCATCAATATTACGATCATTTTTTAAATTATAAATATTAATATAAATAATAATCAAATTAACATAAATACAAATAACAAAAATAAGAAAATAAAATATATTTTATAGTATATGAACAATACCACACTAAATTGGTATAAGTGAACAGCGTCACGCCAAATTTGGTGTGATATTGTTCACTTATACCAATTTGGTGTAGTATTTGACGTTAGGTTGGAGCATGTTTTTTATACTAGGTGTTTTGGCGTTGGGTTGGAGATGCCCTTATATTTTAATTTTATAAATAAGTGTATAAAATTCATGGCAATTAGTGGATTATCTAATTGAATGTCAACGAAAATTCAGATTTTAATATAGTGGATGTAAAAGATGTTTTAACTTTTATGTTCTTTTACTTGGATCAACGCATGTTAAGGCACACTCTAGTGTTGTTTTGTAAAATTATTTCAAAGTCCTTATCAGTTCTTCACATTAATAACCAAAATGAAGTATAACTTGAGTTTACGCAATAGATATTATTAGATAAGATATATTTTATTTGTTTAATATCAGGGGATAATCCATGTTCAATAAGTCAAAATTGGAACATTCTGTGCTCAACTTTTGCAAAATTACGATCGTAATTGTTTTCAAACCCAACTTAACACTCAAACGTCTTATTCACAAATTGAAGTCAATGTATTTGGTGTTGACATAATAAATTTTGAAAATTTTGTAGAATGTCTTTCTGTAGCGAGGGTTAGGCGGCAGTCAAATGTACTATTTGTAAATTTAAACTTTTATTATAGCAGAAGTGTTTTAGTAAATCTCAAAGGTTAAAACTTATCTATATAGTTAAGTTAATTGTTATTTAATAAGCATATAAAGATATTATGTCTGAATGTTATTAAGTAAGGAATTATATATTTTTTATAATATTTAAAATATTTTTTTCATTTATTTTTTTTTTTTAAAATGGGAACATAAATTGGACTATCTCATTAATTTTAAAATAACACATTTTTCTTTTAAGTAATTTGACCCCATATCTTACAGTAATTATTAAAATATTTTGTTATCTGACAATTAAATAACATAATATCCAAATTCTAGGATAGATTAACCGAATAATCTTATATCATATCTAACCAAACGGCCCTAATGATGTTAACTGTTTATAAGTCACCTTTTTGAAAATGAACCCCATCTCACTTTATAAACTCAGTGGACTGTGTCAGTGGTCTGTAGACTCATTTTAAACACCAAAAACGAAATTATAGAAGTGGCGGCCAACAAATAGTCAGAAAGAGGGAAAAATAAAATATTAAACCCAACAAAGTAGGGGCATTTTCGACAAATAAAACCGGTTCTTATTCTTGTTGCCAACTGGACGCCATGGATTGTATCTCTGCTTTTGTCTAGTTGTATTATTGTCTTCACGTGCATGAATAAAGATGGAAACGGATAGACATCACAAACTTATAAAAGATTCTTTCTTTGACGAAATTATCCCTATCACCGTATCACGCCTCTCTATGCGTATAATAACACTGCCGGCGTACGTTTATCTCACTCAACCAACTACCACTACAGTCCAAAAGCACAGATCCAACGGCTCCTTAAACGCAACGTGGATGGGTATGATTTAACCATGTAGCAAAGGTTGAGTGGCTGGATGTCACATCATAGAGTCCTACCTCATCCTCATTGGTCCACGACTCAAAGCACAGTGACCCACTACGCATTACTAAATGAACAGAAATCCAATATCCATGTCTTAAAAGAGGAAAAAAATGGAAGAGACATAAGACACTTGGCGCATACACCAAGCCCTAACCCGCGAAGAAGAAGGAAGCAATCAACAAACGCAGCCAAAGGAGGTACCCGATAGCCCAAAAAGCCCTTGAAATAAATTAAAAAACTATAACACACAATAGCTATAACATAAAAGGTAATAAGCCTCCTCTTTCTCTCTGTCTCTAGCTTTCTATGTGATATGCTCTTAATTTCTTCTTTCTTCCATGTTATTGGCCAATTTGAATAACGAATCAGCTTTTAATGTTCATGCTTTGATCATCTTTTCTTTTTCTCAACTTCAATTTATGGTGGTTTGTAAATGTTTTTTCAACTTTTGGTTTGTTTTATGCTTTTAATTTTGGATTAAACGTTGCTGGAGTTAGATTTTTGATTTATTGGCTGATTTGAAGCTCAATTTCATCGTTGGTTTTTGTTCTTCATTATTAATTTGAAGTTAGAAAGATAAGAGTGTGTATTTTATCAGATTCACTTTGGTTGAAGTATCAGATTCTTAGCTTAAATCAACTTCTGACACTGCTTGATTTAGATATTTACCAAAATGGGGAGTAACATCAACTTCAAGAGCTTGGGTAATGAACCACCAAACGACGCCAGTAAGCTGCTAGCTGGGAATTTTCCGTTAACGCGTCAGCCCTCGATCTATTCATTAACATTTGATGAGCTTCAAAGCACAGTGGGTGGTAGTTTAGGTAAAGATTTTGGATCAATGAACATGGATGAATTGTTAAAGAATATATGGACCGCAGAAGAGACACAGAGCATGGTAGCTTCTTCTTGTGGCAACCAAGATGGTACTAATGGTTTACAAAGGCAAGGGTCGTTAACGTTGCCCAGAACTTTAAATCAAAAGACTGTTGATGAGGTATGGAAAGATATTTCTAAAGAGTATGTTGTGAAGGATGGAAGTGGCGGAGGTGGCAGTGGTGGTGTTCAAGGATCTAATAATATGCCACAAAGGCAACAGACTTTGGGGGAGATGACACTGGAGGAATTTTTGGTCAGAGCTGGGGTTGTTAGGGAAGATATGCAGTTGGGTGCTGCCGTCGGAAAGGTTAATAACAATGGCGGATTTTTTGGTGATTTACCACGGTCGAGTAATAATACTGGATTTGGGTTTCAGCAGATGGTTAAGGGTGCAAATTTGATGGGGAATCAAAATTTAGACAACGGTAATCAGATTACCATTCAGAATTCAAATTTGCCTTTGAATGTTAACGGGGCTAGATTGAATCAACACCCACTAGCTCAACAGCAGCAGCAGCAGCAGCAACAACACCCTCAAATATTTCCCAAACAGCCAACAGTGGCATATCAGATGCCTTTACAAAGTAGTCCAGGAATTAAGGGTGGTATTGTGGGCGTCGGTGATCAGACGATGACTGGCTCTTTGATTCACGGTGGTGCGCTTCAGGGTGCAGGGATGGGAATGGTTGGCTTGGGAGCTGGGCCAGTTGTTGGAACAGGGTCGCCTGCAAATCAGTTGTCTTCAGATGGAATTGGGAAGAGTAATGGGGATACATCTTCAGTTTCTCCTGTTCCTTACATGTTTAATGGAGGTTTACGGGGGAGGAAATTCAATGGGAATGTGGAGAAGGTTGTTGAGAGGAGGCAGAGGAGAATGATAAAAAATAGAGAGTCAGCTGCAAGGTCTCGGGCTCGCAAACAGGTGAATATTTGTCTAAATTTGTCATCTATTGCTTCTGACTTTAGTTATTCTGTGTCTGCTTCTGTTCTTTCTATGGTGGTATCATTTGCCTGCTTTTTTAGGTGTTAAATAGTCTAAGTAGCATGTGTAAATAAATTTCTCCAATATTTAATATGTGAAAGAATTTTGTTTTGCTGTCACGCAAACAATCTGAAGATTTTCACCATTCTTAAAATCATCCTGGTTATGTAATTGCTGATAAATCCTCCCTATAGTATGCATTGAGTTGCTTCTGAAGAGGATATCTAGTGTCAGGTGAAACTCAATTTTTGATAGTACTACCACCTTAGATTGAGAAGCTTTTCCCTATGTTTATAGATACAATTTCAGTACCAAAATAGCCAGATAACAAAACTTGTGATATTTGAGTTTCTTTGCCGTTGTCACTAGCTGTGAAGTGAAACAAGCTATTGTGTAATATTCTTAATGAGGAAAAAAACGGTGATAAAAAAGTGATGCCAAAAACTTAAAAAGGAAATGAAAGTTATTGTCGATTAATCAATTTTGGTAGTCATTAACCATCTCCTTTTATCATTTATGTTCTTGCTGCATCCTAAACTTCATGAAAGATTATGCGGCAGAATGGTAATCTGATAGCGACCTGACATGACAAGGGATGAAAGATTATGAGAAGTCAAGGTCTTGGGAAATTATAAGGATCCAGTTTGTTACAAGGTAATGAAAAGTTGTTTAAGGAACGTAACATTCAATAGTAGTTGTATAATGCCAACGCCAATAGAAGGATGATTAACATCAATACCTTTGACCTTAATACTATACTGAATAGAACATGATAAAGCGGGCATGGAAATAGTTCTACCGTGTGAAAATGATTTGTTTTCTTATGATGTTTATGGGCAAATGTCAGATACTTTCTTATTATCTCTGTTGGAATTGTGCCAGGCATATACTATGGAATTAGAAGCAGAAGTTGCAAAGTTAAAGGAGGAGAACCAAGAACTGCGGAAGAAACAAGTATATTTTGTTGTTTTACATATGTGCAAGCACACACACACAAAAAGTAATGGCATTGTTAATTGATATTGATGTTCTATTTCTCACTCAATATAATTTGGTTGCTGCAGGCAGAAATCATGGAAATGCAGAAAAATCAGGTAAATGACTTCACCTGTTTAGAAGTTTTGGTTGGTTGTTCAAAACAGATCAGTCTAATGCTCTCGGATATATATATATATATATATATATATATATATATATATATTGGTCCCACTCCACAAAACAGTAGTCTAGTAAGAACCATAGCCTATATTTTTCATCTTATGCATAGTAATAGTTTAGGACACATTTATGAGTCATATACCATTCACGGTACCTGAATATTTTGGGTTTCCTAGAAATTTAGAACAAATTAATTGGCTTGTTTTTCACTCTCTGGTTCCATTGAATATATATACACCAAATAGGTTAGGAGGAAGTTTTGCTATCAAAGAACTTTCATCTGTACCTTTAATATAGGATTTGTCGTTACCTTAATCAATGTCAACCATATTTCTGTATGGTGCAATTCATTTGTTATAATAGGTTTAGTTTTGGGATAAATTTTAAAGGTTAAATCTTCTCAGACTCACATTTTTCTGCAGTTCAACAGATTTATTTCATCAGTTTTCTTTTGGTTATTTTAGAATTAGAGTTTGGTTCATAGAAGTATGATGCAAGAAGGCGCTATTATTTCACACAAGAGAAGTAGATTTGCACACAAACATAAAAAGATTTGTCTCTGGCCCTCTCTCATTAAGTTTTTGTTGAAGTTTAAAATGTTTTTTGATGGTATGACAGGTGTTGGAGATGATGAATGCACAACAGGGAGCAAAGAAACGGTGCTTGAGACGGACACAGACTGGTCCATGGTAAAGTGAGGGGCGGGATTATGGAGCTTGAAATTATGTATGGTTGTAGCTGTACATATTTGAGGCAAACTTGTATTGAGCTGTAGATTAAAGAGATGAAAATTTTAGTCTGCTGTAGATTAGGTCTTCCAGTATCTATTATATATGTATCCGCTTCTATCTGAATATCATGATTAGGTAGGTGAAAGAGAGCAAAGGTATGAGCAGGTTGTGAGCTACCATTCATATATATATTTCAGAGTGTTGGGCTTCCTATAAATTATTTTACTCGGTAGCAGTTTTCTGTAGTACACCATATTCTATTTGTGTTGAAACAGAAACAAGACCTCATTGTTTTAATAAAACTGCCAATGATTTCTCTATCTACGCAACTTCGTCAGTGTATTAGTCATGAGTCATATTAATTTAACGCCGGAAACCCAGACACTGCTCAGGCTCTCCGTAAACGGCTCGAAATATACAGTTAGCATTAAGGCTTTGCATGGGCTTACTGTTACATGAATAAATTGTTGTTTTGGTAGCTTTTTAAAGTTTAACTATAAACACATACCAAGTCTACATATGGGTTGAACATACAATTTTAGTAGCTTAGCTAATGAACGGTTAGAAGAATTAACTAAATTTAAACAGCTCTTTTATTTTTTGTGCGAAACAAAACATATGTACTTTCACCATATTTTACATCGAGTGTGTAAAAAGGGGCGTCAAACTGCATTACTTAAAGCAAATAGATGAGAGGAATTGCTCCATTGACTTGCAATTTGAAACTATATAAATCAGTTGCATGTGCCAGGACATAGCTCGGTGAAATGCAAATATTACAGGCCACGACCCCAGTAGCATACTATCACAGAATCGACAGATTCAGCATCATAAATGCGGGCAAGCAATTAACCACAACCAACAATAATCCAAAAAAAAATTTGGCCCCGCCTCCAAGATCTAGAATAATACATAATTATAGCTTTCTAAGCTGGATAATTGACATTATTTCATTAAGGAGATAATACGGAGCAAAATATCAAATTAGTGGCCCAAATTACAACAGTGCATGCACCTCTATGTTTTAAGACAGTGAACATCATGCGAATAATTTACTCTGCAATTCCACGTATTCAGGCCTGAAACCGAAACAAACCCTTCAAGAATCATATGAAGTGATGGGCATTAAAGTGTATATCCACTACTTAAAAAGGGTGAAGAAGCTCAAATTTTGTTTAACAAGGACCATTTCTCATCCCAGCCATGACAGACAGAAAGATAACTGCAGTCCCAAACAGTAAAGCTAGTATGGATAGCCAGGAGTGCATTCCATGTCCTTCCAGGATATCATTTTCCTCCTGTCCCTTCCTCTAAAAGATCTGGCAAGAAGCCTACCATTGACAGGTTTACACAAACCAACATCAACAACAGAAGTACTCTTCCTCTTCTCAGATGGAGATGCCTCATCCAAGCAATAGTCAAACAACATAGCTAGACAACGAACTTGATGAGCTAAGATATAGTTTTCTTGATCTGGTGATAACATCTTTACAGTATGAAGATTAACCTATACGATGCAAAAAGAGAAAGTGAGATTGTAGCCAACTTTCACTTGGTTGATAAAAAAGATAGATGCAAGAACTAAGATGGTGCAAGCACAAAAGTAGATCATGATAGTAACGTAGAAAAGGGACCATCAAGATATAAAACTTTCAATGCCAGAAAGCATCAAAAACCTTGATGTAAACCATTGGATCGAAGTGCTGTTACTAAAAGCTGCTCTTTGTCTAATTTAAGAATATGACCACATGGTAGTGTAATCATCGTTTATGGGACCAGTAACATATTGAAATAACTTTGTAATTCATCATTCAAACACTCCACTATGTACTGAATTCCGTGGTGATAGCTTTTCCTAAGACACTAATGACTTACCTCGCCTTCCATGGCACGAAGTTCATTAAACCACTCATGACCATCGCTGTCACTTTGATCTTCTCCAAGAATCGTGTCAAGACTCAGAGCAAAAAGGGGAGGCCTTAGAGGATACTCCATGCTGATCATGATCTGCCGTATAGAAAAACCTAATTTTAAGTTCAAAACTCAACGATTGAACAAAATACAACAAAAAAACCCCAATTTACCAACCTTAGCTTCTAACTTCACAATCTTCTCATTTCCACCCATTTTTCGGGCTAAAATAAGACAAAATTCCCTGACCCCACAATCCACCCATGACTTTTTGGTCATCTCATAGCTGTGACTAGAAGCAACATTTTCTGCATCTACATCAATTTGTGCAGGGTCTTCCATGTCACTATCGGTATCAAGCAACAACTCTGAATCATCATGTTTTTTGAAACTCTGTGCTCTTGCCTTACTAATAGGGGTGCTCTTCGATATTAAAGCCAGCTGCCTGGAATGGATTAAACCAGATCCTCTAGATGGTGTAAGTTTGACATCATTTTCGACAGATGCAACTGGAACTAAAGATGGCAGCTCTCCATCTTCCCTAGCAGTCTCTAGCTCTTCTTTTGAAGCAGAAGGTCTTCCATCCAAATTAACATCTATAGGTTCCTGAATATGTTGTGTATCAATGGTTGGCAAAGATGAAGCCGAATTAGAAGCAGACCCTACAGGTGACCAACCATGCAAACTGCATAGCGGGGTATGCAAAGCCCACGGAACACTTTCAAAATTCAAAGCAGGCCATTTAAGCTTCATAAGTGAATCAAGCTGTTCCCTGTAAGCCAATAAAAGAAATCCAAATTTTCAACATAAAGCTTATTCTACTGCAAGGATGACAAGACACTAAGAGCACAACAACATAAGACTGAAAAAGGTTCTCCCAAGTAACCACAAACACACAAATTATAAACACACAGAAACTGTCTATAGAAAAGAAGGAAAAAGTCTGAGTATTAGACACTTCATATCATTAAGGATCCGAAAACAGTCCTAGACAAGAGAATAAACTTTTGAGCCAACATTCAGATTCGAACAGATGACAGTATCTGTCTCCTATTGATTTCTAGCCTTCATCATACAAACTCCAATTATACAGAACAGTGACTCACACAAGAGCCAGCTGAGCCTTTCTTCGAGAGCGAATTCTTTGCACAACCGTTTGTACTCTATTCTGCTGGCGATACAGCGCTAGGCCAGATATAACAGCATCACTTTTAGCAGTCTCACTACTTGGAGTTTCGCAGCTAGCAAGCAATGGCGAGACCTCAGGTAAGAAATCAATTCCGGCCAAATGCTGGGCCCATTTATATGGACGTGAAGTTCTTCTTTCATCAAACACAAGAGTGTCACCAACAAAGAGTTTGGCTGACTGCAAAATATATTACAGGAAAATCCAACAATGAAACAACATGAAACAAGATGGAAATTTAGCTCATGGATAGATGGACAAGACGTATAAGGCATATGAATAGAACATCCATACCTGGTGAGGAAGCTCGAGACCAGTGTCCCCAGGAAAGAGATTGCACAAGATATCTTTCTCAGGTCCTTCATGTGACCCTTCTATGCCAACACATAAAAGATTTAATTTCAACAAGTACTCAAACTTCAGAGTAATGAGTTTTGCAGACTTGGGATTGGAAATCTCGTCATCATTTATCTGAAGGATGATTTTGAGTGGATGAACTTGATATATTCCTGCCTGGTCAACATTCTCTTTACTTGGAACTCTCCTAGGTCGTTTTCTCCTTCTCTGTCCATCATCGTCATCATCGGGTACATCATCCTCGAACTTGGAGTTTTCAACATTGGTAGATATGCCTGGGTCATTCCACTAACACTATTAAAACCTTTTTGTTAAGAACAAAATCACATAAGTCGATTTCAAAACATGGCACAGATTAAAACTATCCAGATACCAAAGAAAGTCAAAGGACTTAATTAGATCAGCCATTTGACATTGGGGTTCCTTCAAGTTTCAAATTAGTAGCAACTTGAATCTTTCAGAACTATCTTTTTAAAACTGATAACAAGATTGAAATATAGGTCAGTTTAATCAATTCAAAAATACTTGATGTAAATTGATTGTTAAGCTCAGCAGCACCACTGAAACCAGTACGATTATACCCATTTATAATCTGTATTCAACAGCAACAAGCCATTTGAAACATCATTGAATTTATTCAAACAGCTGGAAAGTAATAATTAACACTCATTAGTCATTACCAGTGTCCTTAACAGCTTGCTGGCGAGCAAATGCTTGAGCATCTTTAAAACTTCCTACTATCTCTATATCAATATTTTCAGCAAATGCTTCCTTTTGTGCCACAAACTGAGAGTAAATCACATAGAGAGGCGGTGGAAGTAACTCAGCTAATTGGTGCTGCTTCATTTTCTTCGTATGCAAAACCCCTAATTGGGTTTGCACTGGTAAGGATGCTTTCTTAAGGGACTTGAGATGTGAAGGTAGACTTGACAAGAATTTCTTCCTGTTTGCAATAGTCTCGAGCAAACTTTTCTTATGCTGCTCTAATTTCTCATGAAGTTTGCACAGTTCCTTCCGCTGATACAGTTAGTATGATACTTGTTAGTACTAAAATCTTAATCCTGTAAACATCAAGAACTGATTTTCTTCATATAAATGAATTATTTTCGTCAAGTTCCAAACGTTAAAGTTACCTGATGCAACTCGTAATTGAGCCTTTTAAGCATAAGATCGTGTGAGCTGTCATTAGAAAGTTTGGAGCTTTTAATCTTCTCAGGGGCATCACGATAAAACTCTTCCTCAGGCACGAGTTCAATATCAGGATATTTTGACTTAAAATCCTTACAAGCCTTAATTGCTTTAACATAGTGACTCTTCTCATACATCAAATTATGCAGCTGTAGAGTCCTGAAATCCACCGGCGCCTTCGCACGTTCTGTCTCCGCTTTCACACGGTCTTCTTCTACCAATATAGTACGATTCGCCTAAAAGAAACCCTAAATAAAGTTATAATAATTATTTCAAAAATAATTAAAAGCGAAACCCTAAGAGTGAAAGAGAGAGTTAAATGTAACCTGACGAAGAGTAACGAAATGGATAAACATTTGAGTTACGAGTTCCCTTAGCTGTGCTTTTGGTTTGTTCTCCTTTTTAACGGCAAGCATCTCGGTGACGATTTCTTCAATCGAGGATTTGCTCTCTCTCAGCATTTTGTAAGCCGATTTCTCTAACTTGCGCGGTGAGGATGTTAACTGTGCATCTCCTCCGTTACCGTCTATCACCATCCCTTCCTCCTCTATTTCGCCGTCCTCCATTGTCTCCACTCTCTCTCACAGTCTCACTCCTTCCCTGTCTCACTGTTTTGCCTGCCTTCTGCCTGTTAAATGCATGCAACGGACAGAAACGGTGTCGTTTTACTATAAACCTAATAACGATTGAACGATGTCGTTTCGTGTTCGGCGGTGCTATAAAAACAGACTAAAATAAAAGCGAATGTTAAGTGCAAAGCGGGAGTGTCGTTGAGTCCTGCTTACTGAACCTGACTCTCTTCATCAAATGAAGAGACTAGGACCCGAAGCCGAAGGTCCTGCAATTAAAGCTCTCGGTTCTCTCTTTAAGCTCACTGAAGTCTACTTATGGTGAGTCAATCTTATTCATTGTTGGTTAGGGGTGTTCAATTATCTCGATAAGAAATTTCGTGAATAATATAATTTTATTTATTAGGCTTCTTGTTTAGCCGATTTTATGTGTTCTATTAATTCCATAGGGATGATGGTTGGGGGGAAACGTCAGAAACTGAAGGCCATGTGAGTATTAGTGCTTTCGACTTCATAGTTTCAAACTTTTCTACTTGTTTCTTGATTTGTGGCTATCTTTTTTTCCTATGAATAGAAATTGCAGCAAGATATTGATGTTGCCAGCTCCACCATAGTTTCTTCAGCTAGTGGCAAGTGTTTCATTTGTTGTCTATTTCATGCTTACTTGGGTTCGCTCTTTAGGAATGTTCACAAATAAGTGGTTTTAGTGTTATTTTGTTGTGCATGTTCAGATTTTAACTCTTTAGCAGAGGATGTAGAATTGGCTGCACAGATGAACGAACTGGGTCTTCCCCTTGCGTTCCAAACTAACAAGGAGGTAAGATGATATTCTGCTGCTGTTCCCCCTTCCCCCTTCCCCCACACCACACCCCCCCCCCCCCCCCCCCCCCCCCCCCCTTTTTTTTCTGCCTGAAGCAACACTATTGTTGCACTAGGGTTCGAGGTTCTGCAATGGATTGCACTTTTCCATTTCACTTGATGCATCCTGCCTTTATCTATATAAGAGAAGACATCAAATTTGTTGATGATAAGAGTCAAATTGCATAACTGATGCATCTCTAGATGTCTGCAACAAGAGAACTAACCCATAAGCAAAAGGATTTCTCTCTCTCTCTCTCTATCCTGAGATTGGATATCTTTTCATTGTTCTTATTATTATTCTAGTCTTTGTTCAGTTGCTGATATTGACATTATTGCAGAAGAGGAATGGAATGACCGGGGGCAAAAGGAAGGTTTCACTTATGAAACATTCTCAGAGTCATAAAGAAACCATGGATGAAATGCTAGAACTTTCCAAAGTNGCACTAGGGTTCGAGGTTCTGCAATGGATTGCACTTTTCCATTTCACTTGATGCATCCTGCCTTTATCTATATAAGAGAAGACATCGAATTTGTTGATGATAAGAGTCAAATTGCATAACTGATGCATCTCTAGATGTCTGCAACAAGAGAACTAACCCATAAGCAAAAGGATTTCTCTCTCTCTCTCTCTATCCTGAGATTGGATATCTTTTCATTGTTCTTATTATTATTCTAGTCTTTGTTCAGTTGCTGATGTTGACATTCTTGCAGAAGAGGAATGGAATGACCGGGGGCAAAAGGAAGGGTTCACGTATGAAACATTCTCAGAGTCATAAAGAAACCATGGATGAAATGCTAGAACTTTCCAAAGTGAGTGAGCAGGAGATGGAATTTCCTACTATTTTTCATGATACCACAGGGAATTCTTTATGTTGCATGTCAATGCTGGGCCAAAGTGAATCATCTCATTATGATGTTGCAGTGGATGGCAGTGAATCTCAATGCCCTACCAGAGAAGAAGAAGACTCAACAAGTTCAGGTAGGATTTCTGGTTCAACTGTCGAGAAACAAATCTGTGAGAGAATATTTCATGTTGTGTCAAACAATTATGGGAACTATGATATTGGACTACATGGTGATCATATGTCAAAGGATGACACGAAAATTGTGGTGGGTTCAACTCCTGTAGAGGCTGAGCGTGCACCAGAGAGTAGTTTGACAGATGCAGGAAATGACAACTTTAGTAAAGGACTTTGTGGATGTCTCATGGAGTATGACTGTTTAGAAGTATCTTCAGTGGCTATTTGTGATAACAAAGGTGATAAAGTTTGCACCAATAACTTCGTTGAGCAGACACAGGTACCTGAATTATTTGTGCATTCTTCAAGGTTAGAAGTGGTCAACCAAGAGGAAATTGACATTTGTAATAGCAATGGTGATTTTGGGGATTGGATGGTGTATTGGGACTCTTTCTACCGGAGAAACTACTTCTACAACATCAAAACACATGCTTCTACTTGGGACCCGCCCCCAGGCATGGAACATCTATTCTTTGTTGACACTTCTGATAAGTCCAATGAAATGACTGCTGAAATGGCTAAAACAGTTGTTGGCCCTTCCATTAATGTCTACTCAGAATCAGCAGATTTATGTGTTTTGGGGAATGATGCTGAATCATTTGATGAATCAGTAGATCAGCCACTTGATAAGGTTCCACTGTGTGCTGCTGATCACTCTGTGTCTGGCGTTTGTTTTCCTTCCTCAAGCAGTAGTTTGGATCATGTGGATGGAATTATTGGGATCAGTAAAAGTGATGGTGGTTCGTTATGCTTTGCATCTGATAATCAGGAGCATATCAACAGGTAATCTGGCCCTGTTTTTTGTTCTTTTTTTTTTTTTTTTTTTAAATTTGGCCTTTTATCACATGTTTTATTTTCATGACCTTCAGTTTTGTAATTGTACAGCCAAGAAAACAGCATCAATCAACTGGGTTTTGATGAGTTCTACAACAGTGAGTTGCAGCTGCCATTCATAGACAATTCTGGTGAAATGGATTGTGTTGAGCACTTGGATGAACCTGATGCCAATATGGAATGCAAATATGATACAGCCTTTCAGGTATCAAATGATAGCAGGTAGAACATGGAAACATGACTTTCATTGTTTGTTTCAGCTTCTCTATTGACTTCCAGAGGTGAAGGTCTTTTTTGTTATTATATTATTGTTTCTGCTTATGATGCCTAGCTTTAGTGCAGCTTGACTAGTCAACTCATTGAAGCAGTTGTAGAGCATGATGATTTGCATCTAGGGCCTGTGTTTGGTGCAAAAGATAAATTGGATTTGCAGCTTGACCCTGGCACAGCCAAACAGAAAAAGAAAGCTAGAAGAAGGCGTGCTAGGAGGAAACTGTTTGACGAAATTGAAGGTTCATGACTCAAATTTTACTTTGTAAATATTTTATTTATTTTTAATTGTATCATCTTCCTATGGGTGAAACAGTTTGAAAACTTTTCCTTCGAATTGCAATCCTAAAATGAGGACATGACTAGATATTTGCTTTCCACCTTGAAGAGAGTGTTAAGAGCATTTCTTTTTTAATTTTTGTGTCTGCATTAGGCGACCCAATTGTTGGATGGCCATTAGCCTTTATTCTCCTTTTTGTGCTGCTTATTGCTATTCATATCTTCTAATACTTCAGTAAAATTACTTTCAAAACTTGGTTAGCGTGAATTAAGTGATTCTATTTTTCAGAGGTTCAATTTGATGGGATGGATGAAGAGTTTCCTGCTAACATAGGCAAATACTGGTGTCAAAGGTACTTACTGTTTTCCAGATTTGATGATGGTATAAGAATGGATGAGGAAGGATGGTTTTCTGTCACATCAGAAGCCATAGCTAAGCATCATGCAGTCCGTTGTGGTTGTGGAATTGTAGTTGACTGTTTTACTGGAGTTGGAGGGAATGCTATCCAATTTGCTATGAGGTGTGTATTACTTCCACTCTGTAATGCGGTTCTGTTCTTAAATTCAAAAATGTATTTGAGGGTCGTATGCTTCACTTGTTAGACAGTTGCATTTTTAGACAATGTGGTTTCAATGTTGTTCAGCCAATAACTATTACAGCTGTAGGTTTAATAGTAGCCTTTCATGTATGTGATCTTTGACTTTGGATGATAATAATATTTATTACATTTCGTTTTTGGTGAATGAACCACTAGCTATGGGAAATTACTTGGCTTCTAAGAGTATGTCCAACGTAAATCTACCTCAATTAATTTCCTTCCTTCACTAAGAATAATCTGATTTTAGTGTCTTATAGTTCAACTGCATGACCAGTAACTTATCAGCTATACGATTACCTTTGAAATAACTTGGTCAAGAGATGAAAGAATTTAGTTCACTTGTAAGACTGTGTTTTCGTATTTATGATAGATATGTACAGAGCTATATATCTTTCTTTCCTTTTAATATCAAGTATGTTTAACTGTGGATGTAAAACTTTCATTCTATCTTCAAATATTCTTGCTTGATGTTTGCATTGTTTACTGCTTCAGGAGCAAACGTGTTATTGCAGTTGATATTGATCCGAAGAAAATCGATTATGCATATCATAATGCGAACATCTATGGAGTTGTCGACCAAATTGATTTCGTTGTGGCAGACTTTTTTCTTCTGGCACCAACATTGAAGGTATTAAAAGCTTTCTTGTAATTATAGATTTTTATTGATGGTATATGTTTCTATTGTTGTCCGTCGATTTTATATGTCAATGCCGCAAAATCCTTTGGTTTCTTGTGAGGTTTAACTTAAGCAGTGAGCGAAAGATATGCTTCTGTTGCTATGGACACTGGCTACTCACTTTTAACTTTCATCTCAATCCATTAAATTTTGTATCCATCAGCATGTATTGGCTATTTCTTAAAAAAACGGAAGGATATCTGTCAAGATAGGGTTTTCTTTTTCCTCAGTGATTCTACTAGGTTACTGTGCATAAAATGATTGTCAGTTATTTGCTGTTATTTGTTGTATCTAATGTCCTTCTGTATGTATAATGTGCTGTGCTTCAGGCAGATACTGTCTTTCTGTCACCTCCTTGGGGAGGTCCTGATTATGCTAAAGTGAAAACTTATGACATCCAGACAATGCTTAAGCCACAGGATGGGTATTTCTTTTTTGTCTAGTGCTTGGCACCTACTTTTATTTGTTATAGTCGTTAGCATTCTCTATAAGGTTGAAATACATAGTGCTTTGATATGTACTTATGCAGATATTTTCTCTTCAACTGTGCAAAGGAAATTGCTTCAAGAATTGTCATGTTTCTTCCAAGAAACATTGATCTCAATCAATTGGCGGAGTTGGCTTTATCCACTGTTCCTCCATGGTCATTAGAGGTAATTTTTAAAATATTTCATGGTCATCATGCGTTTCTGATGTATAACTGGTAGATATTTCTGATATGGAATGTAATGCCCATTTTTCCCATTCGGCTAGAAGTTTAGCTAATGATGTATTATGAACTGTAACGTAATGAGCATTCAGGTGCATCAATGGGGCTTGGATGTGCATATGGATGTCCATTTATACCGAATCACCTTTTTTTAAACTAGCAAGGGTGATGGGTTTACCCCCCTCTTTTATCCCATGGAGAATGAGACAATTCCTTTTCCTAATCGGTTCGGTGCTTCTTGGATATTTTAACTTATACATTCTCAGTAATCTACCATACTTTGGAAAAGTAAACAGTGACTATTGCTTGATAATTTCTGTATTCCATTTTTCAGAGAAATTTTTTGAGACTACCGTACAGCATGCTTTTATTTCACTCTATTGTACAGAAAACACAAACTCCTGCAGGTTCCTGTAAGATAATCTACATCTACCTATTATTCCTCCATGGTCCTTTTTCTGAGTCTCCTGAGCTAGGTGTTGCCCATTTAACATATTGGGAGCCCTGTCCCCTTCACTGACAAATATATTGCAAAAAATTCATCTATGAATCTCAATTTTTGTTGTTTGATTTATTTTAAGAGTATCTCCGACGTAAATAATATTATTAATTTCATGTTTTAAAATCAAATATTTATTTTCTTATTGCTATGGACCAATGTTCAATGTTTATGTCAGGTTGAGAAGAACTTTTTGAATGGCAAGCTGAAGGCAGTAACTGCTTACTTCAATGATACGGCAGTTAGATTAGAATAAATGAGCTGGGCTCAGGTGGGGTAACCAGAAGAGCATGCCGGAACTGAGGTCAGCACGTTGTGATTGCTGATGCTATACAAGTTGTGTGATTAAGCTATTTCATGTACAGTTTTGTAAACTATTTAATATTATCTTATTTTTGGTTTCAACTCTGTAAATCGTGGGAAAAAGTTCACTCTTTGTTTACAGTGTTCTTGTTAATTTGTAAAGGGTCAATTGTATATGGAGAATGGACTATGCCCAAAACTTTTTTCCTCTTGGTTTATAACAATACCATAACAAAATATTACATGACCATGTTGTTTGTTAAAATTAGTTGGTGAAAGGAATGTTTTTGCATATTAGCAAAATCTACACTACTCTTGGATGAAATGAGTACTGTTATGACCGCCAACCAAAAGCTATTAAAATTAATTCCTGCATTAGTAAGTTGAGAATTGGTTGGAAGTGGGATGTGTTTGCAGAGCAGAGCAACTTTTATGGCGGATCAATGCATGAATGGATATCAAGTGACGTTTCCTCATTAAAGTGGGCATGTTTATTGTTAAATAAGTGAATAATCTATTAGTGTACAACTGGAGTAGGTGAACTATCTTTTGAATGGAACAAATTAAATCTGTAATTTTGAACTTTTATTTCACAAATAAATAAATATATTGAAAGTTAACGAAAACTTTTTAGAGAAAATAAATTTGGTTCCATTTTAGTAACAGCTTCCACAGTGTTTTTCAGTTGACATGTGGTGTAAAAGACAGAATCATGTTCTGACTAATTTTTGAAGCCCTCAATTCAACAATGACTCAGACCGATAATAACAAGGTCGCTCTTACCAAAGCATTTCATTTATGCGTCTTGTCCAAATTACCAAATTCAGCACTCTATTTATTCAACTTCAAATTAATTTTTGATTTGTGAGTTGTAACCCAGTACTAGTAATATTCAGTTTTGTTCTTCAAATATGCATAATCACGATTCTCTTCCAATTGTTTATTATAAGCATCACCCGTTTTGACCGGCATGTAGCCAGGCTCTCCAGCTGGCTGGCTACACACAGTGTCACCACTGCTCCCTTCTCGAGGGCTTTTACTCCCAATGATGTGTCAATTTTCTTTAAATAAATGAGATCCCCGGAAGATATAGATCGGGCCATAACCATAAATTATGTGATGTGCAATTTTACACCACACGCATGACGCGACTCTGATATTTGCTTAATTTTTACTAGATTCGATTGGATTTACCTCGTAGGAAAAAAGAAGTTTGATGTTATTTGATCACATGCAGATACTAAGTACATTAGTCAATTCGATTGGTGAGCACCCACCACGGCACATTTTATGGGGACACTCAGATATGGTCACCATTTTCCTACTCTCAATGTTTATGTTCTTAATGGAAAATAATAACTCTCTTTGACCACCGATTTCCTATTAAATTCAAATCTTTGCAAAAACATTATTAGTGATTTTCATCAGAAATTGCGGTTTGTCTATTTTTCAATCAACGTGCCTGAAAATCTTTTACTTTAATATAGTTTATTAGATTTTGTTACACAATGGTGTTTTCAAGACCATAATTCATCATTATTATAATTACTTTTGATGGCGTTAGTTATGTTCTACTTTTTAACTCAATTCTTTCCTCCAAGGCTCTGCCTAAAATTTTTAAATTAAGTACAGTATATTACATATTTTGAAAATTGAAATAAACGGCCGTAAATTATTTTTTGACCATAATGAAATTATAACCATGCGATGCGCCGTGGCCCGAAAATAAAAAGGATAGATAACATAATAATATCTGACATGAATTTAAAGTCAAATTGACAGTCAAGGCAATGATGGAGACCAAAACATTAAAAGCATAAACCCCACTCGACATTCACCACTAACTGTAACTTTAAAATCATCATTTTAAACCTTAAAAAACAGTTAAATTTTAAGCAAAAGCCGAATCATTTTGTCCTTTTCTCTGCTTTTTACTTTTTCCTTTCGCAATCGAAAATCTACTTGTTTGTTTATATAATCAGAAGTCATAAGCAATTCTTTAATTAACAATTAAAATCACATTTTATAAGCTAATCCGAATCTCAGCCTCCATCACTCCACTCACCTCACCTCAGAGTCAGAAGCTTATCTGAATGTGAATGTAAACTTTGCAATGCCGGAGCTAGGGTTTCAGGATCAGAGGTCGATGAGATCAGGTTTCAGAGCACGTGACGCTAGTCCTGACTCCGTCATTTTTACTCTTGAATCCAATTTTAGTTTATTTTCTTCTGCTTCAGCTAGTGTTGACCGCTGCTCTTTTGCATCTGATGCTCACGATCACGACTCTCTCGCCTCTGAAATCTCCCTGGTACTACTTGCATTGTCTCACATTTCAAACTTTTCCTTCTGTAAATAACATTACTCGATGGACTCATCTTGATTTGGCTTTTCGGATGATTAGATTTTTTTAAATAATAATGTGCATGCATTTTCATTTTATTAAATTTGTTTCTTTGAAAAGCTTGAGTGGCTGTATGAACTGGTACCTACTTGGAGCAAAAGGAAACAATTTTGAAAATTAAAATGATGAGAAAGGATCTGTTTGTTTGACGGTGAGGATTTTTTTTTTTTTTTAGTATTAGAAATAAAAATCAATCGAATTTTTGGTGTAGCACTGGGCAGGACATGATCGTGAACAGCAAGAGAGTTCAAGTGGTGGTCCAGATCGAGATCCAGATCCAAACAAACCAGCGACACACTACAATAAGCAGAGTCGTCTCACTAGAAAAGCCGAAAAAGTGAAAGGTACAGCTATTGATATTCATTTAACACCTTGTGGAAAAAAGTTAAAGCTAAAAAAGACACCTATGAACAAAACAAACCACCACGAGCACCTTTACAAATTTCAAATTCTCTCCCTCATTCACGGTTTCCTTTCAATTATAAGCAGTTCATAAAGACGACAGCTATGCTACTATAGAAGACGATAATAGACCCTTAGATTCAGCCAGAAATTCCTTCTCTCAATCTCTCAAAGGTACCATATAATCTGATATTCCAACTTAAACCAAAATCAAACATTTGTTTTTGTTGATTACGGTAAGAATCTGTTCTTTCCATAGACTGTCAGGAGAGGAGATCCAGAGCTGAAGCTCTATCAAAGAAACTGGACAGGAGAAGACCTGCTTCGTTAGATCTAAATAATGCTACCATTTCTTCTCCACGCTTGGGTGCTATGAAAAAAAGCTCAAATTTGGCACGCAAATCCGGTACATTTCCTAGCCCAGGAACTCCGAATTATAGGCACACAAGTGTTGGAATGCAGAAAGGTTGGAGCTCAGAGCGAGTGCCACTGCATACAAGTGGGAATAGAAGGCAAGTGAATGCTGCATTGTTTCCTTTCAATAATGGAAGGACATTGCCTTCAAAATGGGAAGATGCTGAGAGGTGGATACTTAGTCCTGTTGCCGGTGATGGTGTTGTTAGACAATCATATGTGCCTCCCCAAAGGCGGCCTAAATCGAAGAGTGGCCCCCTTGGCCCTCCTGGAGTTGCATATTATTCATTGTATTCACCTGCAATACCGATGTTTGATGGGGCACCTATAGGGAACTTAATGGTGGGTTCTCCATTTTCAGCTGGTGTATTAGCAGCTGATGGCTTGGCAGTTCATTCTGGTGGACATGGTGGAGCCTTTCCTGTAAGGATGGATCCTTGCATGGCTCGCTCGGCTAGTGTGCATGGGTGCTCTGAGGTGCTGAACCCACCATCCTTGCCCTCACAAGGTAATGAATGTGTTAACTACTTAAATGATATTGAATTCCTTCTCCTACAAAAAATCTGTGAAGAATCTTTATGCATAGTCAAGCAGACATTAAGCAAGTGATATTTCATATTGATGTTTGATTGTTTGTTATGTTGCTTGATAATGAATTTGGAACAATCAGTTATAGTTTCTATTAACAACTGAGTAATTACTCCATATTAATAGGAACAATACACCCAGATCTGATCTCTAAAATGCTTTTGTCTTGAACGGTAACTGATCATGATGTTCAACCTTAGCCTACTGAAATTACGTATCTGATCTTGGAGTGTTGGTGTTTATTCAAACATACAGAGGAAAAGATTGATGAGGTCAAGGATGCTGCCACTGATATTTCTCGTACTATATCAAGAAGGGACATGGCAACTCAGATGAGTCCTGATGGTAGCACTCACTCATCACCCAAAAGGCAGCCTTTCTCCTCTGCTGCGACTGCCTTACCAATTTTAGAACTCCAGAGTGTTCATTCCTCGAAATCAGAAGTAAGGGATGTGCAGGTGGATGAAAGGGTCACAGTGACAAGGTGGTCCAAGAAAAATCGAGCTCGGATCTCTGGGAAGACCTCAGAAATTGTTGATGACTGGAGAAAGAAATATGTGGATGCTCAAACACCAGCTTGGGATATTACAGAGTCTGCGAAGAGCATTTCAAAGTATGTTAGCTCTACTGAAAATAACTTCTGGTCCCTCTGTTTTATTAGGTCATTTGTAAGAATATGATATGGGCAAACTTAGGAAGTGATGAAGGCCTTTGGAACTATAATTATAAAAACACTGAAGAAATGCTATGTTTTTTATTATTGTTTATATATGAAACAGCAAGTACAAACATTCAAGTTCTTTGATTATTGTTTAAAATGCTATGTTCTTTCTTTCAAGCTCATTCGTATTCCCCAGGAAAGTCATGAGATGACCCTTTTGGCTTTTGGCAGGACAAAAAGAGAGGAGCTCAGAATCACAGCATGGGAGAATCTGCAGAAAGCAAAAGCTGAGGCAGCAATTAGGAAACTAGAGGTTCGCTTCTGCTTTCTTGTTTCCACATAGACATGCTTTTAAGTTGCTCTTAAGACAGATTATCTATGAAATTTTGGTCCAGTAAAATTATATCTCACAAAAAATTTGATGTTTTCTGTTTGTTTGTTGCTTTTGGATGGTTCATGCAAGACTTTGTATGAGTCCTTTTAGTTGGAATTTGTGAGTCACATTCTAACATATGGTATAATGGGGTAGATTTCTTAGCAGATTATTTGAAGTATGATCTACTTGTTGGATGTGAGAGTGAATACCTTTCAGATGATAGCAGGGAATCATTAATAGTACAAGAACAATAATTTCCTGACCTGAGTCTTTCTTTCTTCGGGTTTTAATTCTTAGAACTATAGATGTCTGGAAAATGATAATTGCAAAAGATAAGTTTAATTAATGTTGCTCAAGTATAACCAAGTTATCGAGGGCTTATTTGGAAAATAAAATGAATAACCTGTGGAAACAAAGAAGTAATAAGAGAGAAAACAATCACATATTATCTTTTCTCTGAATTATTTCTTCTTTTCTTGTTGCCTTACTTGATCTGTTCCTTTGCTATATCACTTATCTTCATGGTCTACACGGTGTTCTTTAATGCCTTTATTTTTTCTCCATAGATTGATGGCTTTCTTGATTTCTAAATTTATTTTTTTGAAATAAAAATGCATATCCAATACAGTGCCAGATTATGGAGTGGTACTTTGAATATTACATAACATCATATTGTTTGCATTTTTGGACCTACGTTACATAAAACTGGGGCATGAGCATTTGGTGGTTGCTATTTTTGACTGGAAATATATTTCAGATGAAGCTGGAAAAAAAGCGGTCTTCATCCATGGATAAGATCATGAACAAGTTGAGATCTGCTCAAAAGAGAGCTCAAGAAATGAGAAGCTCGGTGTTAGCCAACCAGGACCGTCGAGTTGCTAGGAGTACCCATAAGGACGTAACATTCCGTCGAAACAGCCATATGGGTTCCTTGAGTGGTTGCTTTACCTGTCACGCTTTCTAATATCATCAATCCATCTGGTTCTCCACTTTAACTACGATAATTGTGAGGTAACTGTTACTTCTAGTTGTTTGTTAATCAGGATTGCAACTTCTTAATCTTTTGTCAATTGCACTTATGTTAAGCAGGACATGCCCTGCTATTTTTGATGCTTGATTTTTTAAAAGTCAAATACCTCAGCCTATTCTTGTCAATTGTAAATGACTATGTTAAAATATGCTGATTGATCCTCATGAATAGATACTTTAGAATCTATTTTCAAAATGCGAGGGAAGAAATTTCATTTCTTTAAAGCAAAAATATAAATCAACAACATGATTTGTAAAAGGTTTGGATGCACTTTCACCATCATTCTCACTTGGCATGCTGGAACCAATAACTGGATATGTGTATTTTAGTCAGAATGCATTTGAAAATAACATGGTAATACATTGAATCCCCAGATTGAAGAGATTGCATTCAATTAGCTTATTTTGTTAATTTATTGGGTCCATATAACATCCAAATACTCTTTATTCGTTTTGGTAATATATGTTTTGATGCTTATGGAATGTTAATTACATTTGGGACCAGGTAGAAGGAGTGATAACTGGAGTTAGCAGAAAATTAATAGCGTAACAGAGATGGCAAGTGACCCAACTACTACATTGGGACCAATTTGGCATGGATGCAACAGTTTCTTATAAGCTGCAACTTCTTAGTTGCACATTCAATGTGTCTGAAGAAAAGAATAGACAAATAAATCATAAATGTGTATGTATGTATGTATGTATGTATATCAGCTTCCGAAATATTCTACTTTGTTAAAGTGTGCCCTTGCAAATGGAAATACCGCTCATCTGATGATTTCGTGTCGCAGTCTTGTAAGCTGCTGTGGATGATTGAGAGACATAATGGCATCACAAGAAAGAAACTGTTGGTTTTGGTTTTGAAAGCTATCTGAAACTGAATTGATTATTATAACTCGGTTCCTTTCTTCTCGACTTCTTAATATTTACCCAATTACGTATCCTTGCAATATGCATTAAGCTTCTTTTTAACCAAGACATAGCAGAATTGTCTGCCGATAACGTTAATGAAATGAAAATTACTTTTATCGGTTGAGTAAATAAATGTATACCACCAACCAGAAATAAAATCATAGAGATTATGATGGTCGTATCAGTGGAGTAAATAAATGCAAAAAATTCATAGTCATCATGAAGATCACCACCAATAATAATTAATATGCTACATCTCATCACAACGAATTTCCTTAAATGCCAACATGTACTGTCGCCGGCCTATATCTTCACAATGTAATTAATTGTGTACTTAAAGCTAATTTACTCTGTACAGACCATGCACATGCAGCAACTCAACCCTCCATTCATCTGCCTGTTTAAATACATTAACCATCCATCACGTCCCAAAACTCATCGGGCTTGCTTTATTTTCTTCAAACTTCAAAAATATGAATATATATATATATGACTATCTATCAATTCCGGATAAAAATGATGTAATAGAAGATATATTCTCATTGATCATATGCTGAAGGAGCAAGTACAAGTTAACTGTTCAAATTAATTTCCTCTTATGCTGCCTTAAACTGAAAAGTAGACGAGATGGCATGAGTAGATTAACATATATAGTTCACGTTTACAGAACCTAATTTGGCCTGATAATTTAACCTCTCCATTCTCTCGTTTAACAAGATTACAGATACACAAATTAATCTGTGAGCTACAACTTATTAAATGTAATGGTCAATTATGATATAACTGGTGGTGGTAGTGGTGGCCAAGCCAAAGATAATTGATGATGATGGAAACGACAATTAATACTAGTAAAACCAGAAATTATTAGCCAATATATTATATAACTTTTGGTCCTGCATCTTATCAGCAACTGACCAATTGTGATGATTATATGAAAACTCCTGATAAACTCACTCTTAAAGGGGTAAACTTATCTGTAATAGCTAAAACATCTCCAGTATAAATGTTCCTTGTAAGCGACACGAACATGTACTGTGGCGGACTGGCGTGTCTTTTCACATTTTGTCCAAATTTTGTTACAAGTTGGATGGAGTCACTGAATGAGATCTTGGGCTTGGAGAGGCGACGTTAGGGAGCCCAATCGGGTAGCATTATCGTAATCTTGAGGCCCATGAGCTGATAATCCAGGAATCACCAACCCAATAACTCTAAAGAACCTCAAAAACCAACCCTCCCTATAATCTGGACCCTCTATGTAAGGCAGAACAAAACCTCGTATCAGTTCCCAAACTGCATTTACGTACTTGGGTAGTGCCCATAACAAAGAGAAGTAGTTCTTGTTCGGCTCCTCCTTTGTAACCTGAATAATAAACCAAATTATCGAGAAAAATGCCAAAGAAATTCTGGAAAAATCTAGAAAAACAAACTCACTTGTACAATATAAAAGGACTCACCTTCCCTTGGTAGAAACTATTGTAATAGAAGCAAGCCCCGAAGTGCTTAAACAAGAGGCTTCTATCATCATATGGCAACCTTGGAACTATGTCATTGCAGTAAACATATCTCCTATAATTCACCTCATACTTATTTAAGTTATTCTCCATAAACTCTCCAAATTGCTTGTCTCCCACCCTTGGTTGCCCAAATGTGTACACACCTTCTAATCTCTCCAGTAACCATGACTCTTCATGGAACACTAGCACAAACACAAACAGTATCGCTAATGCTCCCCCCAAGCTGTGCCCTGTTACTATAAACTTTGCTTCCTTGTTATTTTGTAGCGTTTCTCTCAGCATTTGTCTGATTGAATAGTAAGCAAATGGGTGCTCATTTTCTAGGTCTATCTCCTTGGGCCAACCTCGATTTTTTTGTAATCCTAGAGCTTTCATAAAGCCGCTATGTATTTTACCCACGTTTTGAATTTCATACCAGGAGATATCGACATCTGTGCACCACGCGATTGCATCAAATGGCTCAGTGCCTCTAAAAGCGACTACGATTACATTAGGGTCAACCCTTTTTTCTTGAAGCAAGAAGGCTTGCGTTGAGAAGAGTTTCTCGTAATCTGCAAAAGATATCAAATTAACATAATAATATAAGATCAACAATCGTGATTCATGAACCCTTATATCATATACATGGAAACTCCAAATACATAAAAGGCTTAGGTAAGTGTATTAGGATTCTTAATTATCAGTTCACATATCATAAAATAGAATAAATAAATAGATCTTAATTATTAAATCTGAAAGATGCATTCCACGACATAGAATAAATAAATTCAGATAAGTGAAAAAAAAAGCTATATATGTTAATCTAAATCAACTGAATATTTATATCGTAATTTCGGAAGAGTATAGTGGATCATGTGTATCATAACATAAATCAAGTAAGAAAAAGCATATGTTAATGTCTTGATGGCTGGTGACTGTCTTATCTGTCATCACTATCTATCCTTCAAATTATCAAGATTGACCAATCTATTCAATCGTGGACTTTTTATTTATTTATTTATTTGTTATTTTTATTGTAACTTACAAGGAGTAATCAATTACAACAAAGAAACATCGTATAAATTACTCAATCCTAAAATTAATTATACTTGAGTCCTTAAACGCGATTCCATCCCTTAATTATATTCAATTCGATAATGCATTTAAGAAACCAACACAGTACAGATAATTTTGTCACTTTACCGTTCCAGAATCTGTAGAACCCCAAGAATTCCATCTGCACCAAAGAAAATAGATAATTAAATTACACATGGTCGTCGCCCATCGTCAATCTATTAAATGAAGGAAATATATAAAATTTAACATGATTACTTAAATTTTTTCTTTTCCTTCCTCTCTATTATTAATGTAATTATCATATCAATCTTTGCATGCATGGCTTACATTCCAGTGATTTTTGACAATGTTGTTGATGAAAGCTTTATTCTCATATGAAAATTTAGCGGCCATGAGGGACAATGACGCATAATATCTCCTGTCATTATTTGGTTTAATGTGACTGTCTAACTCAACTCGTCTGTCAGTATTTCCCACGACGGATGTGAACGTTGCAGATGATCTATCTGGTTTCACGAGCTTTCCTGCAAAACATCATTTCCTCATTAACACTGATGGTTAAGCGCACTGCTATAAGGATTGTTAATAAATTACCCAAAGAGAAATTCAATAGAAAATTTTATTATGGTTTTAATAAGATTAAATTTTAATTTTTTGAATCATGGTTTCTACAGTCATCATAATCACCTATAGCTTCCATAACTCCAATAATTAAACCATTATTAACTTGTTATATGGTATATATCTCTGCATTAAAGTTTTGTGATATTCCTTGCACACCAAATAAAAATCCCTAAATTTGAACCAGCTGGTGCTCATGAGACCACATAAATTTTGATGTAATTTAACATGCACAGACCATGAGCAAGCTAGTATTAATAATTATGGAAGCTTTTTGAGGGAAAAGAAACCCATACCCCCCCTTTCATCTGTGTTTTCATTTATAAACTATGCATGTTGTGAAACTAATGGGGCTCACTTGTGTTTTCTTCCAACTTCATAATATGAGTATCTATTATTTTGTCCAGATCAAATTAATTTCTAATGATAAAAGATGCATTGATCATGCTGACAAACACACAAACCTCATCTTATATATATGTAATAATTAACTATGTAATGTACCTAACATAAAATGGCACTAGAGCAAGACCAAACCTTTCAAGCCGTTGATTAAAAGCATGAAAAAGCCTCCGTTGCTCGACAGGAGATTTAGCCACAGCTCGAGCACATATCCTACTGTGGCCATAGGTTTTCTCAAGGAAAAAAGGACCTTCTGCGCGATTACGGAGATAAATATGAGCCATCGATAGCCAAAACTCCTGTAATTGTGTCTTTCTGGGCAGTCGACAAACCTTTGTCGCTTCAATTCAGAGGAAAATAGAAGAAGAATGAGATCAACCAAACTTGCTTCTTTCGGCTTGAGATGCAGATAGCAGCTACAGAAAGGTTCGACATCCATGGCTTGGAAGCAAGGAAAAGATGATGAGTTGCTGTGTCAATGTATTGAATTTGATAGCTTCTGAATAGATTCATATTTTAGTACAGGAGATGCATAATCATGCACGTTAGCTTTTGAAAAGTAGCATGGTTGATGAGGACAGATTAATTAATATTTTGTTGGGTTTACATGGATCAGGACATATTGAATTATGGAATGTTGACTTGACATTATTAAAAACTAATAACTTTTATTATGGGTTTTTTTTATTACTTACAGAATAATTTGTCAGCCATTTTTTGTCCCTTGTCACATAGTACCTACCTGGTTTTAAGGTATAGGAGAATGTTTTAATAACCAACGAGGTAAAACCCGACAAAGCGGCCAAGTCCTAGGTAGACTAGTTGAACAGATTTAACCAATCGGTGTTTAAAAGTTTGAAATTTAATAAAAATACCCTTAAAAATTATTATAAGTCCTTACATGTTTAAAATTTTGCAAAAACATTCCAAACACCATTGTTGACATCGACAACCCAGGCCAAGAGGGCATGTTTTCAGTGGCGGCAACACTCTCATCACCACGAAAACACTCCTCCCAGTTTCTTAATTAAAACCAATCTCACCTTTCTCCCATTCACTCTGCCAATCGTCGGCAATAGACTGCTTTAGTCGATTGATTTTTGTCATTTTCATTCGATTCACTCACCGAAAATCACTCTCTTCACCACATTTGGACTCATCGGCACTCCCTCTTCAAAAGCTCCAATATAGTTTACATCGTATACTCGTCGATCACCATCCATAATTCTTGGGTTTAGAGGTAAATAGTTGAAAGTGATAACCCGCCCGACAATGGTCTTGGGTCCCGGTTGAATCGGTTTAACCGGCCGGACATCAAAACACTAGTACATGATCATCGTTAGACAAAGGGTTTCACTTGTTTTGCAAAAAATATAAGCATTAATATCCGCAATCATTTGTGAAGCGATTTATGCGACCATCCAATAACATTTTACCCCTACATTCACCTCAATTTTAATTCACATCTTCACTAATTTACTAATTTAAAAATATGTCACCACCTCGTCCCCCATTCACGCTATTATAAGGATTTAAAACGCGGTAACAATTATATATTCGTCAAGAGTCTCAATTTGGCAGGGGTTCAATATTTGACCTTATAAGCATATAGAATTAGGAATTATATATCTAAATGGTCATTATTAAACTGCTGCTTGTATACTTTCTTAATAATTAAGCAAACCTTTCTGCATATAAAAAATCTCCGATTTGACGAGACTAATTCAGCAACAAAAAATATTCTATAACCTAATAATAATGGTGGCTTCATATCAGCAAAGTAATAATGATGATTATTGAAACGACAATATAATATAAATTTTGGTCTTGGATCATATGACAACTCACCCACTTAAGCCTAATGTGAAATCTTGTCTATTTAGCTAAAACTTGACGCCACCAAATTATATATGTTCAATATCGATCCTTTGAAAGTCTATAGAAGCAGAATAGCATTGTCTCTTCACTTTTCAGAAACGGAATTCACATTTTGTCCAGATTGAGCGGGTCGGCCCAATCGGGTAGGGTTATGGTAATCTTGAAGCCTATGAGCTGATAATCCAGGAATCGCCAACCCAATAACTCAAAAACCAACACTCTTCGTCACATGGACCCTCTACGAACGGCAGAATAAAACGTACGTCTAATTTGGGTCACTCTTGGCCTGCAATATTTTCCTTGTTGGCCAGCCAAAAATATATAAATGACGATGATTTAAATAACAATAGTAGTTGATTACAAATTAATATTAGCCAATATTATTTTTTCTTCTTATTAATTATATGAAAACTTAAGGTTAAAAGGAAAACTTGGCATGTGTTATATTAGCTCCTACCCACCAGCCACTAGAGACTCTGTTCAATACGTTCCTTCTAAGTTACGTAGTCAAAGTATGTAGTAAAAGTGTCTTCTGTCAATATAAAATAAAATAAACGTTTATAATGCTTCTTGATACTCCACTTCAAATTGATTTCGTTTTGTTAAATACCAAAATTACATTCAACGAATCAAAGTCAATAAAAATTGGACAAGGCCATCTCGTAGTTGACCATGTGTTCACTTATGTTAAATTGTACTACCACTTTGATATATTTATTCAATTTTACATTGTAACCCCTCTGATTCTACATATGACATGATGTTTGTTCCTCCACCTTATCTAATGGGTGAAGCTATTAAATTCTTGGTCTCATACATATTATTCTAGAGAATGAATTTGGACAAAGCTAGTATGATTGATTGCGATGGAATGCATGACACCCATCAAAAAAGGACAAAATGAGGAAGAATATACGAGAAATGTGTCCTCCTTCAACACCCTATAGCTATCACCAAAAATCCAATCAAACCAACATATTTTTAATGATTCTTTTATAATATGTATTCATATGGTTGGTTTGGTCCATATTTATTATGTCTCATTATACTTTTATCGTTTTATGAAGGGTGGATTTATTCATCTTCTTCCACTAAATCTTTATGGTTTAAAATTCGGAATTTCAAACAAACAATACTTAACAAGTTTAATATCGGTATCCCAAGTTAATAGCAAAAAGATATTTGTAATTCGGCAAGAAGAGAATAAGTTTGATTAGAGTGTTAATTTTGGTACAAGATATTTGTGAATATTAAAAGCTCTGTCCAAGGAAATAGAGAGCAGTTATGGAGTGTAAGGGAGTATGCCCTATATTCACTGGACAAGGGGGCTCCCCTTATTCAAATCTGAAGAACCCTCGATATACGGATGTTGGAAGATTATTGGAAACTCTCACATGCCTCTTCTGATGATTTCTTTGACCATGTCTTATTTGCTACATACTTTTTCTTTTCTTTTCTTTTTTCCTCATAAATTAATTTTATGCATTCCGATATAAATCTTTTATATTGTTTAATATTTATGGTAGATTGAATTCGATAAGGATTCGATTGGAGTGGGAAGGAATAAACAGCTTTCGGTGAGGAATGATTCTTAAGACAAACATTTCACCATTGGATCTCTTTTTCTCGCTCTATCCAACAGCATAAATTACATTTCTCTCCCAATTTTTTATTTGGGGGTTGGTTGGATTTAATCAAGCAAGAAAACCAAGAACTTTTCAAGTAATGGGTCCAGAAAAGAGGTTCAAGTCCAAATAAATATATACTAAGTCCAGCCCATTACCTGTCCACAGCTTCGGTCATAACTAGCAATTTGATCAAGTAATATCTGTTGACGATTAATGCAAATTCTTATCACAAAAAAAAATTGTCAATTTTAATTAAATTAATTAACACTGGTAATTCTTTCAGGCTGGAGAAGTTTATGGAATAAATAGGGGACAAATAAAAAACACCTGGCACTCTCTGCTTCTATTAGCTTGGCAGTCGATCCATTTAATTAAAAAAAATTCAATAAGTGAAACTGAATGGGGAGTTTTTTGCATTATTTATTTTTATAGAGAAAGGATGGACAAAGGAAGCAGAGCATATAGGATTGGGATCTCTTAAGAGGTGCCAAATTGAGTTTGGATTATTATGCACAAACTTGGAAGCGAGTTCAATTAAAATCTTCAGAAGCGAGCAAATTTGTGCATGAAAATTATGCATTCTTTTGTACGAAGACTTGTGTCTTTCCACTGACAAATAGACTCTTCATGGGTTAAATACAATTAATAAAGAAACCACTGTTATTTCAAATGGCAGTACCTAAAATAGTTAATGAAAAGGAATTCCATAATGGCTTATGCAATCCCTTTCAGTTGTCAACAAATTTAAAGACAAAATATTTGGGATTGCAACAAAATCACTTGAAGTTCACGTGACAGAATGAGGTAATATTAGGCCTAATTAATTAAAAAGTCCGACGTGGATTGCCACATAACATTGCGTTGACTAACGAAGACGTCATCACTATGCCACATTGGAAAAAGGGCCCTCACCGCATTTTGTCAGTTCTTCACGTGGACCTACCACGCATTTCTCCTTGTCTTCAACATGACATGGAAACGACCACCATAACTTACTTAAGTGGTGTTATATATACATTATTTTTATATAATATTTCTCATACAATGTTATGTGATAAGGTATGATTAATTAATTTAAAATTAAAATTAAACTTTCATCTAATCATATTTTATCATATAATATTGTATAAAAATAGTGTGTATGTAGTATTATTATATCTTACCCTATACTTTTCCTATCATTTCTGTGCAATTAATCTACAAACCCGACACCTGTTTCTGCTTGGCCTATTTGTTAATATTCCAGCTCCAAAGATAATGTTTTATTAAATCAATTAGTATCCTGTGACATTTAACATCATCCTAAAATTTATATGGTATTATAACTTACACTTAATTATTAATTGATACTATTAATATCTTGAATTTAGATAAAAACATAGGATATATGATATTATAAATGTTTAATTAAGCACGTTTTGCGACAATATCTAGACAGCTGTCAATTTCAACGTCTTTCATTTGGGTTTCTGATGTTTTGTTTTATTTGTAGACGGGAGGAGCAAGTTTTCGTTTTCCCTATTAAGATGGAGCATGTGTCGCCAATTGACCTAACGGGCATGGGTATTCCGTGCACTATGGTCCCGAATTCTCACAAAATTCTATCAACATTTTGGTAGATGGTTTTGAATAGTCTGTCAACCCAATAAAATTATTAATTAAATATATTATATTTGTTCTTCAAGTAAAAAAGAAGGTAATCATTTTTTGGTTTTCTCAAGACAAAATATGCTTGTGTGTGTCCGTCTGTCATGGTTATTATGTTTATAATGCGGCATCTCTGGTCAGGTTCTTCATTTTTTTCTCCAGTTGGAATTGCGTGATTTTTAGAGTTCCACAGACAAGGTGGCCACCAAATGTTTTTACAGACATGACAGGAGTGAGAAACAGAGAGAGATTCTTTTTAAACAGTTGTGCTATCTATCAAGCTATTGTCAATTATTTCATAACAATACAACAGGGATTACAAAGTTTAAAATATCAATTGAATAAAAAGCCATGCATGATTTTTTTATAATCCCTTTGAACCAACATGGATCATTACTAGAACAATATTGCAGCATTTATACTTGAGCTAGCTAGCTAACTGTTTTTTTTTCTTTTTTTTTTAAATTAAGCATCTCCAAAATGCTGACCGTTGTATGATTTTCCCATAGAAAGATAACAGCCGTTCGACGACAGTGGGGCAGGGAACCCTATTCCGGTTGGTCTATTAGCTGCAGCTCTTTCCAGTGATTGCACTTGAGTCTTCAAAAACTTGACATAGTGAATTGCTTCGTCTAGCATTGAGGCCGTGTCCATTTTTGTTCCTCCAGGGACAAGTCGTTGAAGTATTCTTATTCTCTCACTTATCCTCTCTCTTCTATGTCTTGCTGCGACGCTTTGAGGATCCTTTGATATCTTAACGTTCCTTCTCTTTGGTGGCTTCACTGATTCTGGGTCTATATGAATTGGCTGCATGGCTGCAATTCGAAAGATGGTTTCCCTCATCGCTGCCATCGACACGTTCCGCTTCTGTGATGGAGTAGAATAAGAATCTGCACCTGCTAAATCCACACCACCTCTCCAAAATCTTTCATTTGTTGAATAGGATAAAAAACTTGGCCCTTGAACTGGATATGTGCCAGTAAATGAGATGGTGGATGGTTGGTTCATAAGAGAAGGTGAAGGTGAAGCAACTTGTGAGTTATCAATGAAATGAGTCATGGAACCAATGGTGGTGCCACTACTTGCATCAGTTTCAGTTGGGGGCAATTCAGCCACATTGTTATAGGTGCCGTAAAACTCGGGGAACTTGTCCATCTGCATCATCATCATCATCATCTCCATCTGCTCTTCTGTTGCAGACTTTAACTGGTCAATCTCCATGGCTTTGCCCTCTTTGTTTAAAAGAGAATCTTGAAAAGAAATTACGGTTAAAAAGGAGAGAGAAACAAGTAGTAGTAGTAGTAGTAGTAGTAGTAGTTCAGAGCTGAGGAGTACTGAGAACCTGATGGACAGAGGGATGGGGAAGATAAAAGAGAGGAGTGTAGACTGGAGTTTTTATCAGAATGTGCAGTGAAGGAAAGAGTTATAGACACAAGGCCACAAGGGTAAGGAGAAGAAGTAAAGAAGAAAAAAAAAAAAATAGAATAAAATAGTGATATCGGGAACAGACTATCAATACTGAGAAGATTATATATATACACATATAATACAAGTGGTTGAATATTTTATACTATATACAACAATAGTGTAAATGCTTTACCAATCTTCTTTTACTCCTTTGTAATCCCAAAAGTATTCATTTTTTTTTTTTTTTCATATCTTCTTATATATTCTGAAAGTTAAAATTCATTTATGATGATTGGTACCTCTTTAAGGCGAGAGATAGAACAAACTCATATATCATACCCAAATGCTTTTAATTACCCAAATGCTTTTAATTAGCCATAATGCATCCTTTTTTTTTATTTTTTTTATTTTATATGACCGGGAGTATTCGGATTAGTTTACGCGCACCACAACTAATCTCCCAAGATCTTGAAACTACTGATCAAATACGAGTTCTGTGGCTACATTTATTAGCAACTACGAAGATTCAAACTTGAAAAATCATATAAGATCCTCCTCTTGCTCTTTTATACTCATAGAAACTAGAACTTAGAAAACTATATTAAATTATTCTCTTAAAAAATCATGTTAGATCTCCCTCTTACTTTTTTATTATCAGAACACCAAGTGATAGTCCATAATGCATCTTAATTCCCTAAAACATAGATATATAATTAATTAGCGGTTAAGTTGATAAATTAACCCAATTAAACAAATAAATATGTAACCAAATTGAGAAGTTCTACAGATTGAGATGATGAAGCGACGAGAAGGTCCAATGAGCTAGCAGTTGAAGGGCTCAGATCTACCAACTGTACTTTCAGGGACTATAATAATTAATTAGGGGTTTTGTTGGTGCATGAATCATTATTTTTTCAGTGATTGAAAGCTATATAATGCAACATTGAGTGGAAGTGTTGGGGTCTAATGTTTGTCTTAAAAACCAGTTTCTTTTAAGAAACAAAAACCCCACAATCACATGACAGGTGTCAGAAATCTCACCAGACCCTTTTAAATGATTTACCTAGCCAGTACCGGCCGGCAACAATAATCCGATGCCATTGGATCCACCGGAGAATTACAGGTGGCAATGGTCCAGTGGGGAAGGGGCCTAGCCACTGTATAATATTATAAGTTGCATTATCTTGATATGCTGCTGCAGCTACAGCCTAAACCACCTCGCATACCAACAGTAACAGGAGCGCTTTTCGAGATGGATCAGGTCCTTCATTGCGCAACCTGCATGCTTCATGAGCTGCAATGGAATTGGAATTGGAATTCCTTTCCCAACGAACTTTACCACCAACTGCTCATCAACTGGCTTTATTTATTTTTTATCCACTACTTCAGCTGCCGGCTATCTAATTTATTTATTTACGATGCTTAATTAAAAGCCACTTATCTACTACCTTTTGAGTTTCGCTTCTCTTTGTGCAAGTTATCTTCTCTGATTATTGCTCTCTTAATTTCTTTGTTTGATGCATTCAATATCTCCAATGAGACTCAACTTCTCAAGTCATATCCATTCTTTATCATCAAGTTCGCATTAATATTGCTGAAATTCATAACAAATATATTCATTGTAACGAGATAGGTGAGAAAATATTTCAATAATATGAGTTCGGATTTAGGTGAATTAAGATAAATCGTACATATTCTTTCTTTTTACTATTTTTTGTTATTTGTATGTAATTAATTTTATTTTGATTCCAAATGTTTTTTAATTCTTTCAAATAATAATTCGAAGAATTTCTAAAAGAAAACTTAATTCAAAGATTTAGTTTTCCGGATAAGTTAAAAATTATGAACTTGTTTTTCTATCTTAAGATTTTGATGGGAAATTGTGGACCTTAGTTGTGGACCACACCGACTCAGCTCATAATGATAAGATGTAGACATTAATAAGGAGACATCTAGGGTTATTATTAAGGGTGTTAACGGTCGTATACATCCTTAATGTGACACATAAATGCTCAACGAATGCTTTAACTAAAGTATAACCTTCCAGATTAACTAAATTCCATGAACATCACCATATCTATACATCAATGTGAAGATTAAATCTTCGTATTCCATTAAATCGACAGGTCAATCATTAATAATACTAACCTTAATCTATGACTCTACACTACTCTTAATTTGCTTGCACATGCATATATATATATATGAAGTTTTGGGGATAAGCTCCCTCCAATTAATTTCATATAACCGTAGTTGGACACTGAAATTAAGTAACTACATATTTATATTAAAGGTTTGTATTATGAAGCTTGTAATCTGGGTAATAATAACGAATGCAGGCGCAGCAAACCAGCTTTTTACAATATGAGATGTCTAACAGAAGGGAGAAATAAATTATTAATTAGTGAATGAGTTTTTATAATTTTGTTCTTCTTTTTGCTACAAAATTGTTGATTGAAAGCACTAGTTTGCAGAGGTAGATGGAGTGGTAAAAAAGAAAGAAACATGTGTTTTGTTGTTGGTATTGCCTGCTCTCTATTCTTCAACACCAATCCAAGACACTGAAAACTCCCTACCACCCTGATTTCAAAGCAACTTTCCAGATTGATCACCAGAAAGTACCCTTTCTCTCTCTCTCTCTCTCTCTCACACACACACACACATATTAAAATATTACATATTATTACAATTTTTAATCAAGCAGGGATGAATAAAGGGACATGTTCTCTGCAGAAGAGGTTCATTTGGATAAAAAGAATCCAAAGGTAGAGATCTTGGTGTTGGATTGGGCTTTTTACTAAGCATTATCACGGTTGCACCACCTTATCTTCTCTTCCCCACATCCCATTTCTTTATATTTATAATGCTTATCTATATTATTAATATTCCTATATATTATATTAATTCTTGTTTCTCCTACTTTCTTTCTCACCCTCCCTTCCTCATCGGGAACTGCAGGCAAGGCTCTCCCTGTCAGAAGAAAATAAACCTTTTTCTATGAATAAATATATAATATATGATGATGATGTTATTCAATCACAGATAGTCCCACTTTTTCTCTCTCTGCATGATTTTCAACATTTGAATTAATTTGGATGATTTTTCTTGTAGCCAAAGTGCAGCAGTCCGTCAGTCAAAGCATATTGGGGGTATGTTTTGGCCTTTGGTTTCTAACTTTTTCTCTGGTGTTTTTTCACAACTCCAAGAGGACACTCTTGGAAGGAAAGAGTGTAAGAGTAGAGTTTGTTGTTATTTTGGCTTTCCTGGGTTGGTGTTTGCGTCATGATAATGTTCTCATCTCATAATCATCGTTATCATGACTGGTTTTTGCTAATATGGAAAAATATTGGGCTCTACGCTCTTCCTTTTGAGCAACATGTTTGTCATTGACGTTGCAGCCCATTACAGCAACGAACAAATTAAAATGTTAATTAAAGAAGCTAAAGTAACAATAGAACATGCCATTACAGATTAAATTATACCAATTTATCTATTCTACTTTCCAAGTTTCTAACAACTTGCCACAAGTGTCGATCAAATGATCAATAGAATCTCATATTTAACAACACCCACCATCCTAGTATGAGGACGAACAATTCCTAATTGAAAATCATGCAATTGTTTTTCATATTATTCAATAATCATTTAATCTGATATGCTTCTCCTTGGAAGGGCCAACTAAATGCTAGGATAGTCTCTGCCAGGCCTAACACATGTATCATGTATGGATGCAGCTACCGACAAAAGAAACTCACCATTCTAGAAAGCACCTTCCAAATTTATTAATATTTTACAAAACTTAATTGTCATTTTGTCCAAGCAACCATCGCATAGGCCGTCTACATGCATTTTTGGTCAACAATATATTTATTGCCCCACCAAGTTTAAATGACATTTGCGCAACCTTTTAAGATTTTTTTGTAACCAATAATAATATACTGAAATCTTGCAAAGATTCTCTTTAGGAAGATTTCTATAGTATAGTGTAGTAACAAAAAACAACAGAAGACTAAAACAAAAAATCAAAATAAATATATTCACTTTTTATTTATTTTTATCACATTATTTTATACGAACATCTTTACAAGTATAACGTTACTAGTAACAAATGCATAACCTCATGCAACAAATTACAAAGGTGCTATAGGACATGTTAATCCTAGCTTCTAAAACAAAGTGCAGTAATCAATACAAGTCATTATAGAATTACTCAACTTCATTTCCTTAATTCTAAGGGGACTTAGTATCATCACTTTAAATTAAAACCTTCAACCAGATAAAATTTGCTCCGTTTGGCCAATAGATCGAATATTTCTATACCAAGACATGAGTATAACAAGAATTAAAAAAAAAAAAAAGGGGAACGCGGGGCAAAGCCACAAGGGTCCAAGGGGTGTGAACGTTCATCAGACCAGATAAGCTGTTGTACAAATAATCGTGCCTAAGGCAATATTTCATTTGGTGCATCCCACTTGATCTCCATCCAAAAGTTCATTAATACAGAATTCATGCAAGTTGTCATACATTTTCTTCCACTGCTGAACTATTTGCATGGACCTTCCACATTCATGCTTTAGCCTCTCCACCTCCATTTCTGCTGCGGCAGAAGAACCTTGTCTCTGGTGAAAAGACACAGAATAAAGTTAAGATAATGTTTCAAGAGAATGCAAAGATGGTGCTATTCATCTGCAGGACCAAAATGGGTAATAGAAAATAAGCACAGAATAATATAAAGTAACAATAATCTAAGAAAGATCAAATCCAGGACAATAAAAGAGGATAAAGAACATTTTTAAAATATAAACAATTGAAAACCTGGAAGTCCTCAATATGCTCATCAATTATTCGAGAACTGCAGTATAAAGCATCTTGAGGAATATTGCGAGCAGTGGGGAG